TGTTGAACAGGCGCTGGTTTACACAGCTTGCCTAACACAGCCGTCACAAGATATGGAACGGCACAGCCGGTTACTGCAATAACCGAGGCTGTACTACTCATGTGGTACACACACAGCTTCGCTGTGTACGCACTGCTTCTCTGTGCGACTGTGCATCCTGGGAATGTACTGTATAGTACTATATAGCCACAGATGTACAGTAGTATATATAGGGGACCTCTGTACCCCCAATCTACAGTTCAGTTCACTCGAACGTCTCCTCTCATCGCTCTTACAAGCCTCTTACAATCAACCAACCCTTCTAGGTGAGTTGCAGGCTATCCGCTGTCGTTGCCACCCGTGGGAGAGGCCTTCGCCCCCCCCGGGTTCAACACTTCCTACGATTGTCGGTGCTCGACGGCTACGTCGAACACCGGCCTGGCTTGTGGACACTCTACGGATTCACTCCGAATTCGTCTTTCTCGTGGTTTTCGTCGAAGAAATGGGGCCCTACGAACTCCAGGCCTTGAATTGGATGACGGGCACTCTGATCTGGGTATGTTGTCCCCCCGACAAAGACCGTGCCACTCTGCTGACGCTCTCAAAAAAAACAATATTCACATCCATGGGTCTGCCCAAATTCACGCTCATCGATGATACGCACATCGCGGTTATATCGAGTAGGGAGTCTCGGATATTTTCGTCTACTGCTTCGCTTCCCACTCCGACCATGAGCCTTCGCCCAATCCTCTGTGTGCGCTCTGCCTTCGGACTCATTCATTGATCCGGTCGTGGCATGTAGGCGGCCGTGCGGATCTAGGCTACCTATCCTGCGCCACCTAGAGGGCACTCACTTGGAAGTAGGCCAGGTGCCGATAGTGGAGTTGGACCGTTGGACTGCCAAGTACATGTTGGAATCCTGGCGTCAAGATGGCGAGCTCGCGGAACAAGCGCCACAGGTCCCGCCCCCCCGACGGATACCCGCGCTCTTATCTACCCCTATTTTACTGTGTATATAAGGTCTATTGTATGTACTACGTACGGCACGCGTTTGCACCGGCCAAACACGAATCCCATTTGTGCCCGCTTGCCCTCGAACTTCTACAGTACACACGTGGTAGAGCCTATTCGGAGCAATCGGGGCGGCTAGACAAGACTAAGATGGGGGAAGCCACATCACTCCTGGACTGCCATGTCCATCCTGCACTGCATGGTTATGAGATGAGATTACCTTTCACGGTCTACCCTGACCCCGTTGTTTCTTGCCCTCAAGGCGCAGAACCGGAAGAACTCGTCTTGAACGAGAACGGTATCTCCATACTGGTAAGTACCTCAGAGATTGACTTAGATTTCCGGCTGATTACCTTCTTCTGCCTAGTTTACTCGTCCAGGAGATCACGGAGACGAGCGATTGTGCAGCTATCAGACGTGGAACCTTTTGTAGCGTGCCGCCTGCTCTTGCCTCCGAGTCCCTTCCTCCCGATCGGTCTATTCCTTTGACTTTCATTCACTTTTGATCTTGTAGTCACAGTGCACAAATTCCTGCCAAAAGGGTATCTGGATTCACCCATCGCGGCTTATCCGCCTTTGGCAAATCTGTCACCCTACCGTCCATTGTTAGCGCCATCATCCGTCGTCATGTTGCTGATTTCTCCGACTTTCTGGACATTGCGTCTCAAGGACTACAACTATGTTCTACAACATCTATAATCGACTACTCACGTGAGAGAGTGTGCTCGAAATGAACTAGGTTGAATTGTTGCGATCCACCAAGCACGCACAAGGGGTGGGTCTGTGTAAAGGATGGAAATCACGCTGCAGCAAGGTAAAGTACATCGAGACAAATGTGCTATGCTACATTATGGTATGATGGTATCGCAGGACAATGTATGTATATACGGGTTGCAGTGGTATCTCCGAGCTGTGGATCTAGATACCAAAGCTAGGCGAGAACAGATGGATAGACAGCTCAGTCGAACAAGATAGTGCCAGCGGGGGAGAGCCGGTACGCGAATGTCGTGCGCAACGCACAGTGTATTGATGAACGAGGAATGATATCGGGCTCGTCGAAGAGATCAAGACTTGCTCCGCACACGCTTCGACGTGGACTCCTCTCCACCATCCAGGGGTCGCTTCGTCGTCGACCCAACCTGCGTTGACGTGAGCCCGATGTTCTCCCTCGGAGGGCTGTAGCCTTCCTTGGGCTTCTTGTCGGCGCCCTTGTCGCCCACAGGCCACTTCCGACGCTTGAGGAAATGCCTCAAGAGCTTCTCCATCGCCTTGTGAGATTCGAGCTGCGAAGCGAGCTTAAGTAGATTCTGTGATCGTGACCCACTAGGTACAGTTCCATCTTCATCGTCGGAGTCGGAGTCGGAGCCGTCCGAGTAGTCTTCATCTCCGTCAAGGGCCAGCGGTCCGGTAGACGGCTGTGCGAGAGCCTCCGCGTCTCCGTCCTCGTCATTAGAATCTGCACTTTGGGTGTCCTGCGGTTCGTCCTGAGCATACAATGCCTTGAATCTTTTCAGGAGCTTGCAGATCAGGAGATCGATAGGGTGCTTCCTCCCCGGCCGCGTCGCATTGTCCTGCCCTTCAGCGCCCTTCTTTGGCCAAAGGAACTCAAGGCGCTCGTTGACGTGCTTGCCCTGGGCGTCCTTCTTTCCACCGGTGATTAGATGGACGTGAATAACGCCGTTGTACATTGCGTTGAACTTGGCGGGACCCGCAGTGAAGCCGGAAAGCCCATCGGTATAGTCATCGAAATAACTAGCCATCAGCTGACCGACTCCGTTCGGACAGTTATGAGGGAGAAAGCGAATGGCGAAGTAGAGCATGACGTGAAAGAAAGACTCGAGATCATCCGGGATAGCGATGACCTTCGCGTAGTCTATGAGGGCGTGCACCGATGTAAACTGCCATGTTCCCTAAATGCCGCAATGTTTTGAATTAGTGATGCCACCGTACGAAACTGGCCTACGTACAGTCCTATCGAACTGGCGGTTCCCTTCCTCGGGTTTCCCGCTGACGTACGCCTTCGATAATTCCCAGTCGTTGAGAAGCCCAACCCATTGCCCGGTAGTGTCCTGATAAAGTAGGATGTTGCCTGCGCTAATGTCTCTGTGGATGTAACCCGCAGCGCATGCTTCTTTGTGCGCTGTGTTCTCTTGTGAGCAAGGATCATTTGGAGAGTGTTCTAAGGGCTCACCAATGACGCCACAATATATGGCCGTGACGAGCTCGCGGCCGTTGATGAACTGGGAGAGTGGCTTCCCCACTTCAGTTTCAACAACACGATAGTGCTGATGCGCCTTCAAAGGGCATTGTTCCGGCGCTTCGTCAGGATGATACTGAGCCCAGTTGTTGTAGGATAACGTGTCTTGATTCGGGAGGTCGCCATGACAAACAACGGTAGGGACGTAACGCACTTTCGCTTTGTTGAGAACGCCAAGTACGTGGCCCTCCTTCTCCATGCCGGGGTGGTTGACACGCCACGCGTCCTTCAGATACACAAAGGATCCGGTGGGCTCGCCTGAGTCGCTGAGAGGAACGGCGATGTAACCACGAGTTCCACGCCCCACGACACCGTCGGAAAGGAAGTGCGGTTTGCCCACGGCGAAGGACTGCCATGTGTCGGTACCCTCGTCGAGAACGTCGAGCTTCCACCACGGCCAGGACTCGTCGAGAGTAGCGTTGAATAATTGGGGAATGTAGCCTTCAGGAGACTCCGCCGCAGCTTTCTTCCCGTGCTTCTTGAGCTCATCGAAAAGATCATCGGCACGCTCGATACGAGTGGCGGACGGATCGTGCCCACGGTTCGTCTCCTTCATACGGCAGTATCGAACAAGAAACTCTGTGAGCCGGGAACCATCCTTCGCGTAGTTGATTTTGTCGGAGGCAACAACACCAGAGCGATCGAAGCGGATGACGCGAGCGTAATGGCCGAAGAAGATCACGGTGTAGTGGAACAGACGCTGCTGGTATCGGAAGACGAGGTCGGCGTACGAGAGAAGCTGTCCCCATACGTCCTTCCTTCCTTGAGCTACCGGCTCGTCGCCGTCCTGCCACTCGTCGAAGGGATCGAGGTTCGCCTTGACCTTACACTCGATGCCGAGCTCCAGCCGCGACCAGTTCAAGCGTCGGGATTCCTCGCCAAGGTCAGTCCATTCCTCCTTCGGAGCATGAGCGGATGCGTACATCCCACAGTCGATAGCTTGCTTCGTCGCGTCGCTCTTGTCCGGTTTGTACGGAGTGGCTACGAACTTCCTCCCGGGAAACAGGTGGGATCCGTTGAGTCGATCAACCTACAACCCGATGTTAGTGGAGAAGAAAGGAACACAGAGAATGACAACTCACGATGCACCCGTACATGGCCTTCTCCGACGAGAAGGTGGTTGGGACACCAGCGAAGATGTTGTTGACGGTCTTCTTGGAGGTCGACTTGTGCTCCGGCATAAAGTTCTGGATGAGAGATTCGAGAGTGCAGATGTATGACTTTCCGTGCACCATGTTTCGTAGTTCGTCCCGGGCTCCCTGTTTGGTGCTTTTCAGTATCCTGAAAGGGTTGTTTCGACGGTACTTGGAAGGGGAGGCGGGAGCATTGCCGGAGACACGAGACATCGTAGAAGTTTTGAGTAACAGTAAAACAAGGGCGGTGATTGTGAGAGTTGGAGTGGAATATCGGGTGGTGGTTGGGAAAGGTGAACAAACCTGAACATACCGGTAGATTTATATATCGGGGTACGATTGCCTGGGCCGCGGCGGAGCTACAAAGCAAGTAGAACCAGTGACGCAAAAAACAGATTTCTGAACTTAATTCAAGCCCAGACAGGAGAACAATGGTGAGCGGCGGCGGGTGGTGGTTGACAGAGAGCAAGTTGGATTTATCTAGCGCCGGTTTCACGCGTCCGTCACTCAGTGACTAGAACGGTCACGATCATCATCATATGTTACTGACAACATCTCTTTCTGCCGGAAGGCACAGGCGTTGCATACTGGTCAATAATACTTGGGCTTCTTGTGGATGTATGGGTACAGTGCCATTAAACGAAGAAAGACAGATCTCACGAGCATCCGTCGGTCATCAGCCTCCAATGACCGGGAGTTCGTGGTTATGAGTGGCTGTGCACCCGTCACGGCCCTGCTACAGTTGGCAAGTGGGAACACGGCGGGTACTTACGGTGAAGACAAAGACTCTTGCATGCTAAGCGGAGACTACAGTGCCATCTTGACGCTGTGATTGCATTGTGCCCGTCACTTGGCATGTCATCGCTTCAAGTCTTCTGGTGATCGACCGTGGATACTGGCATGACTGTGGAGACGTGGACGGTTGGACAAAGCTCCTGAGCCAAGTCTGTTCGAGGCGCCGCCATCTCCAATGTGTCCCCCTACGTTGTTCCCGAGTAGGCCCTACTACAACACTCCGGTGTTGCACGTAGTACTGAGACTCATACTATGGGCGTCTCTTTTCTGGGCCTTAGTAACTTGCTAACATCTCGATCATCATTGAGAGTGACCAAGAAACCGAGCCTGTACTACTTATATCATTCAAAACAGGCTGTGGCACCTACTCCGAGCACTGGACACGGCAGGCAAAGCGCGATGGTCCAGGTGAGGAAATCTATGCTAAATATACGGGCAATGCAACGTGCCCATAAGACTTTCCAAATCACAAAGAGGGATACAAAGGCCCACTGGAAATGCTAGGGTCAGGTTGCGTTGCCCATAATTGCCGCACAGATTTCCCTGCTTACACCGCCGCGCGACCCAAGACATCGATACGAGATAAGCAGTAGATGGTGTGGATTTGATATTGTGCCGTGTATGGGCATCCGATGAGCGCCGTTACCGACCCGGTGCTTGCCGTCGATACTGGCGCTGACCGTTGGCGCACCCTCGTGTCGTACCACAATCATGTCAATACTATGTCTCAGTATCCCATCTCAGATCAGTCTCATCATCGTATGGATACGATACCAGGTGCTCACTCCAAAGACATATGGCGGCACATGACTTCTCCGTGCAGGATGCGGCCGTGATACTGATTCATGTGGCCCTCTTCTCCTTCGTGTGTATTTTACACTCAGGGTGCCCATACTGAGCTGTCGAGGTCCGTATCTTGTACCACATTTCTGACTGCACTGATTGTACGTACTGGTGTCTATTAGTGAAGAATGAGCTCATCCGAAGACGAGTACGAGCCGTCGCAGATTGTCGGAGATGCTTGGGAGGAGACGACAGCGCCAATTGTGAATAGGCCCCGTCGTTCAGAGGTCAACAAGGGCTTGGCAGATAGGCGGACTTCCAGGTACGTATGGTCATAGGAAGATGGCTCTTTTCTCTGTAACATTGCGTCAGACATCCGGCACTGATCTTATGGTATACAGGCTCTTCGAACCAGGAGGTGCGCTGGATTCACAGACTTCGGAAACTCAGTATGTGGAACGATTGGAAGACTCCTTTCACGGTACATGCTTATTTTTTTTTTGCAATCATCTCGCTGCCATGGCTCACGTATCCTTGTGCAGACACTATTGCTGCACAAGATTATGTGAAGACTTACGCCAGCGTCAGCGTGCAAACCAGTGGTGATATATCAGAAATACAAGGTGAGTTCCATATCCTCAGTTTCTCATACAAGTCTCCCCGGAACGGCCATTGGTGCGATCACGGCTATTACAATGCTCTGACGCGTGGGAGGGATGCTCCCAGACTGCATAGCGCAAGACCCATGACAATCACCCTGCGAAGCTACGGTGCGCTGTTAGGGCTGATGGTCGACAGCGCGGGTTTTGTGCTGGAGTGGCAGTTGACACATGTGCAGGTCAGAGCACCGGGACCGACACCGTCAGACTTTGCCCTTGCATGGTCGCCCTCGCGTCAGCCACGCGCGAGGTCGAAACCTTACGCGCCGCTTGCGCAGTTCAAGAAAACCAACTGCGACAAGCACAGGACTACGTGCTCGCCAACGCAAGCCTTTTCCTGGACCCGCACGAGGAGTCGCAGGTCTTGCTTGAGATGCCTTGGTTATCTGCTGGGGACGGTTCTTATGCAAGGTGAGAGTCTTTGACTTCGCAATTTTGAATACATATGATGTTAATGGCACGGTGTTTCATTTTAGTACCCAAACTGGAGGGCCGCCAGATGGGAGGACAGGTGTCAAGCGCCATGTTGTGATGTCCGACGGTGATGTTGGAGCGCATCGTGCGCCCAAGGAGGCACGTTTACAATAGGAGTTCAAGTACGATACGATCCTATTGCGCTCTTCTGTAACCGCATCGTCAGTTGAATCAAGGATGCGGAGGTCTCCACCCGCAACATTCTGGATTTCTTCTGCATGAGCTCGCAGTTCTTACTGTACTACAGGGCTGGACTTGGCAGAAAGCTGACGTGGGCATGGTGATTTCTCTCCGCCAGAGAAATTGGAACTACGGACTTGTGATTGCAACTCGCTGACGTTCTGTATGTCCTCGCCCCTGGAACGATGTCGGGGGTCATGGCGAACAACTTCCTTGACGGGCGCTGCACGCGGCCTTTACACTTCCCTTGTCCTTCCTCTGCAATCTCGCTCCGCATATAGTTGCTTGTTATGCCTAATTTCACCCGTCCCGAAGGTGCGCACAATTCTGACGATTTGCAGGCTACGTAACAGGGGTCTTATGAAAATCCATTAGACTTCGAAATTCAGGGGGGTCTTGGACGGTGCACGGTTTGCAACCCGCCTGGACACGGGCAATGGGTCAAACTTGGGAACTTACGAATACACGAAGACCAGCGGGTCCACAAGAACAATGTTGAACAGAAGTTGCGGAGGGAGAGGGAGGCTCAAGCTGCTGCTCAACGTCGTATGGCTCCCCCGTTGCTCCCTGTTACTGGCCAACTCCCCAGTCCTCAGACAGAGTTTGACGTTGAGTTTGAGTATTCTGCACTGACAGAGTCATCTAGCTACCATGCAGACGTCGCACCTTTGGACAATTCTGAGGCGGGCCAACGGACGCAACGGATTTCCCTTGCGATGCAGAATGCCCTTGCCGGACGAGTTTTTTTCACAGCTGGGGAGGAGTCTTCCCTTGCTGGTGGGGACTCAGAGGTGACACTCGAAGATGTTCTTGCTGGTGCGGGAATCCTACGTGCAATCATGCGTCCGGAGGAGGAAGAGGAAGAGGAGGTTCCGGTGCACGATGGATATGAGGTGTCGGAGGATGACCCTACAGGTGAGCACTTCTTGTAAGGGGTGGTCAGAGTGCACGATCACAGTGCAATTCTGGCTTGATTTTGAGGCCATGAAGTACGCGAGGATTTGGACACGATTGGGTGGTTCATTTTCGATGATTATTGCGCAGCATGACATCGTTGTTGTGCTCGTGGTGCATGTCAATTTGAACTCACACTCTCTGCATCAGGCATTCCTCTCAGCGCAGAGAACATCTCTAACAGTATATTCGGAGGGAATCTCAACAGCGTGAGCGATTCCTATTTTCCATACCCAAACAAGGCGGTGTGTACACGGCGTTTCATATCGTATTGTATCGCACATCCTCACCTCACTGCAGATGATGAAAACAGACATCCTATTCAGTTCTCAAGAACTGCGATTCTCTCGTGCACAAAAACAGGCGATCCTATCATGGGGTCGTGATCTTGGTGCCGAGAATGTCCCGTCACTATACAAGATCGAAAAATTCCAGGCTGAGGCTTTGGAGGCCTGCGGAAATCCATCGAAACGTGTGCAAACCTCTACAGGTCATATCTTCTATCAGAATTCAATGCATCATCATGTCATGCAGGTAAATTTGAATACGCATGTTTCTCATCTTGTCGTCGGGTTGATAGGAAATTTGTATAGCAATACGCGCACCCTGACGTCCGGCCCTATCTCAAAGCCTACCCCGTCTTCGCAGGCGGATGTGTTTCAGAGACCTATCATAGCTCTAAGTGGCTCGTAGACGCACCTGGTTCTCTGCTCACGCCTATGGTCCGCGTTGACGACCGAGACTTCTATGTTGACGAGTTGACGTACTGCAATGATGGACAATGGTGCATTCCGGTGCGATTTTTTGAGTTTGAGGGCCAGGGGATGTGGGCAGTCTGCCATAAAGTCGAGATGACTGAGGTGGGTGCTTTGGAAAAGCTCTGGTGCGCTTGTAATGTATCTGTAACATTTGCATACGTGACCCGTAGGACGGTCTGGTGGTGCACGAAGAGCGTCAGTTCATGCCGTGCGCAAAATTTCAAGACAACTGGCCAGAGATAGAAGCAGCAAATCGGGGCAAGAATCTCTTTGCTGGTGCGTTATACTAACATTGTCATGATTTATGCAGTATACCGATAATGGCTTAATTCATTTGAAAGCGTGCTCCATGCATCATGCATCGAAAATGCCAAACCCCGATCGTGTCACCGCGGATGGCCTGGAATGGGAATGCCCCCCCCTCATCGTCTTCATTGACGACGTCTCTGGGAATAGTTCAAAACAATGGAACGTACACTACTCTTGCTATATGTCGAATGCGGGATTGCCTCGAGCGCAGATTGAGAAGTCTCGGAACATCCAATTTCTCTCGACGTCTCCGAGTGCTTCGCCAATGGAGATTATTGAGGCTGTCTGTAATGATATCCGGTGAGTCTTTTTCTTCATATTGGTTTCGGTTGCATGAACAATCAAGAAAGCTAATGGTTCGGTGCGATTTAGGCAAACTTGGGGTACGTCTCCGCTCAAAGTGTGGGACGTCCGTAGACGTCGTCATATCCTTGTTCGGCTGTGGCTCCTTTTTTTGCCTGGAGACAACCCTATGCAGGCGGAACTCTGTAGTCATATTGGTCTCAAAGGTAATCATTTTTGCCGTTGCTGCCATGTCGGTGGCGACCAGAAATATAAGCAGTCTGATGAGGGGTTTGCCTCACTGCTCAAGGTTCGTCGTGTCTATTATGAATGTGTATAGCTATAGACGTTGCCTGATTTCATACAATTTCCCCAATTCCCAGCTTGGTCGAGAGCGATCCCCTGCTGAGACACGGGGGGCAATCATGGCGCAACTGATTCAGGCAACACACGCGGCAGCGGAGAAGCCTCTCAAGGAGGCAATCACGTCAAGTGGCGCAAAGGATTCGCTCGCACTTCCCATGATCAATCGACTGATCGCCCTTGGGAAGATCCTCCGAAAGTCGACGCCGGAGCGCAAGGCATTGAGTCCGGAAGACGTCAACCAGGAGCTTTCTGCAGAATTGCTGAGACACGAAGGTGTGACGCTCATCAACCCCCTACTAGACATGCAAGGTACAGTACTGTGGACGTGGCTCTAATAGCTTATGAACTGCTGATATTGTCTCTTGCAGGCCTCAATATACATCAAGATACCCCTGTCGAACCACTGCATACTCACCTCCTCGGTGTCGTGAAGTACTTCTGGGCGCAGACTATGTGGGTGCTTGAGAAACAGGGAAAACTCGGAGTGTTTCAGGCACGTCTCAATTCCCTGGCGAAGTCGGGGCTCAACATTCCAACTATCCAAGCCGATTACATGTGTCGCTATCGAGGTGCGCTTATAGGGAAGCATTTCAAAACCATCAGTCAGATCATGGCGTTCGCTATCTGCAAATTGGTAGACGACTCACTCCAAAATGCTTGGGTTTCTGTGGGGCGTTTGACTGTGCTTCTATGGGAGACAGAGATCATCGTGATGGCGGATTATCTTGTATGTCTTTTCATGTGCACGCCAATCATGTCTTCCGAGTTCTGGAGTTATCACAATCACTGAAACACTGATCACAGAAGGAGCTTCGGATGGTGATCAACGACGTGCTCGATCATGCAGCATCCCTAAGCCCGGGGCTTGTCACCGAGAAGAATAAACTCCACATACTTCTCCACATCCCAGACCATATCGAGCGACATGGTCCAGCGCTTCTCTTTTCCACCGAGCGTTACGAGTCTTTCAATCACCTCTTCCGTCTTTCATCTATTCATAGCAATCGGCAAGCCCCCAGCCGTGACATTGCGGCTTCCTTCGCAAACCAGGATCGCTGCCGTCATATGATGACGGGTGGATATTGGCTCGACAAAACCTCTGGTCGGTGGGTGTGTGCTAGTCATGCTGTGCTCGATCATGTGCGGTCGCATTCTATCGATGCTCGATTGCTCGGAGTTGCTCATGCCCATGCCGCCATCCCTGGCAAAATGACACTCCCTCCACTCTCGTCCTGCACCTCTCCTTCTGCTGCCATTCCAAATACTTCACACACTCCTAGTCGTCCACTCCCCTCTACGCCATCACCGTCCACCTCGAGACCTGTTCTGACATGGACAGAAACTCACTCGTCCCAAATGGACCCCTCCCTATGCCCCCCGCATTCCCTTAATGGCGGCTGGCATTCGGCCGCCGATGTTGTCGCGATGAATGGCGACCAGGCCATTATCGGTGCCGAAGTCCTCGCGGTGCTCCCAACTGGTTTGCCTATAGTATGTAGCAACTTCTCGTCCTCGGTTCGCCACCATATAGCTGACAAGTGGGTCTAGAGTCGAGATGTAACAGACATCAGTGATGCTTCTCCATCCCAGACACCGGACAGAGTGACCCGGGTGGGCTTCGCCTCCATCGTTGAGTTACTGAAGACCGCTGACCCCCTTCTACCGGAGGCGTCGCTGGTTGTTGTCCGGGAGTCTTTACTCCAGGACTCCCTTCATCCTACGCTACACATGCCCCTCCTCAGCCGTTCAGGACAATTGCACGTTCTTCGCCCCAGCGTAAGTCGACAGATTGAACCTGAATTCAGCGTACTTGTTGACATAAGTGTCATTGCGCACTCTAGGACATCGTCTGTGTCATAAATGTGCAGCATGATTGCTCTCGCGCGAAGTGCACTGATACCGGAAAGCAAATTATTCGTCAGGAGCGCGAGGATACCACCCAAACCCGAGCCGTTGTTACTCACAAGGGCAGCCCCATATATGTCCTCAATACTATCGCCCTTCATAATCATCACCGTATCCGAGACATGCTCCCACAACAACTCCGAACGACTCCGACTTTCTTCACTGATCGAGACACTGTCCACAAGAACGCGGCATCGTCCCTACGTGACACCAAGCTTCAAAAGAAGCTCGCCAAAGAAGTCGCCGTCCGCAAAAGTGCTGAGGATGCCCTTCGAGCCCTTGATGCCCTCGCCTCCGTGGATCTCATCGGCCTCGAAGGCCCTTTCAACTCGTCACCAAATCCACCAAACGACCCCATCCACAACTTTGCGACCAGCGATTTCCCCCACGCCATCGCCATGGGACATACTCGCGACACCACAAGCTCCGAACATGCATATAGCACAGCAGCTACAGCAGGCGAACTTCTCACTGCGCCTCGAAGTGGAGATAACCGCGACATCGAGGCGCCATGGCGCTTAGAGCAGCTGAATGTCGTAGATCGTCCTCGAGGCCCACGACAGCGACGGCCCCCAGCCTCTCAGTCGGCCCAGACTCCTGGAAATGCAAGCACGACATCACGAACACTCACCGAGCAACGTCACACTGCTAGTGGCGGTTCGCTCAACATATTGGGCGCCACGCCAGGACGAGGTGGGATCCGAGGAGGGGCTGGCATCCCAGGGAGGGAAGCAATTTTTGGACGGTCCAGTCAAACAGTTGGAGGCACAGCACAGGTCGCAAGCCAAGGGGACCAACATTTCGAAGCCGTGCCTGCCGTTCAGGATGGGGCCGCAAGGGCAGGTTCGGCCTCTGAACCACTATTAGACCCCCCTGCACGCAAAAGGCGACGGGTCGCCACAGCAGATCCTGTTGCGGCGGCGATGAGAGAGCACGAAATTCGCGCTATATTTGATCGGACTACGTAGATAACTTGAGTACAATGTACCAGTGAATCTAAGCTCTCGAACTGCGAGAGCATGACCATCATGTTGATGTGTTTAGAACCAGACGTCTCAGAGAATAAATTAGATGTTGGATGTCTCTCCATGAAGGGAAAGGCGACTGACCATGATAGCTGTAAAACACAGTTGATGCGAGGGCAGCTGAGCGACTCGAGGGTGATTAGCACGTGCCCGAAAATCTGGCAAAGTCAACTCCGCGTTGCTTTTGGACAGTGGCGCAGCCTGTCCCTTCCACTCGCCTTCAACACCTCAGCATATGTCCACATACACCCTGGGCAGCTACCTGCATCAGAGATGGACCTCCTTTACCAGACATACGGCATCGACCCAGGAAGTGCCGCTAGCTTGTCTGCCTCTGTTAACCCGCTTGCCAGCGCACCATCCTCGATCGGAACACCTACCGCTATGGGCCCACTGGCCCGTTCCGACTCTACGGAGGAGCACCACCAAACCACCAGGGACAGCCTGAGTCCCAGCCCGGAATGGGACATGTCAAGAGCAACGACACCCAACGCTGCCAATTTGTTATCAGCCAGCCTGCCTCGGGCCAAGCATGGACGTACCACCATCGATGACGACGACGACTACCTTAGGCCCCGCATGCCACTTGCCAGTCACATTCTACGCGCGAAAACAACCGACAAGTGTCAAGCAGCGAATCTCAGTGTTATGCAGACTGAAGACGCCCTCGCGTTCTGTGATGTACGCTCCGAAATTATATCAGTGTCCATCCAAGCACTATAACACAGATGAAACTCACATATCTATGCAATGACAGCTCCCAATTCATGAGAAGCTCATCGATCTTAAGATCCACCTGCTCCAGAGTGAAAACGATTTACTTCAGCGGTACTTTAAGCAGTATCACCGTCATCCAGATTACACCGTAAGCTCTCTGAAAAGGCGAATCACTGAGCATTCAACTAATTTGTTCGTGTAACAGGCACGTTTACGTACCTTTCTAGGTGCTGTTCTCTTCGCCCACAGCACGCCAGCGTATGTCAATAATATAACCAATTCGATAGCGGTACGTCTATTCAACCCTTATACTCATTCTCGCACTTACCAATGTGTACATAATGATCCTAGGAATACCTTGAGCACCATCTGGATGTCGTCGCACTCACCTCACAATGCCGCGATGATCCAGTCGACTGGGGTTTTGTCAAGAGCTCGATAGCCAACGAAACGAGCCAGATGCGATCGGTGATGAAGGCCAAGGTGCGTGAGACACCGTGAAGCTTCGTGACGCCCAGCTAACCGAACCTTCCCCTGCTCATTGTTCTCTCTTTCGCCCGAAATTCTACTTTTCTCTGTCTCCCCTTCTGGTCGACTGTTCTGCACGCAACACACCCACAGCTGGACGCCTCAATCAAGAACAAGGATGACATCTACGCCCTCACATCCGACATCTTGATGTACGACATCCGCCCGAGGGAGGAGCATTGGGCCCGGTTCGCATTTTTGGTACGTAACCTACCTAATAGCTCACTTTCAAACCATCCATCCTTGCACGCGGTTTCATACATGAAACCTCTAAGTGATCCCAGGCGAGAAAACCTGTTTTCCTGCATGGACACAGTGGTGCTCGTGCACCCAAGCAGGTTTTCTCGCCTGTGCTAGTGGACCACTGACACCAGCCCTAATACCTAAGGCCAGAACATGGATTTCTGTGCTTGGTGGCCCGCGCTGTCATGAAAACTGCTGTAAGCGGGCACACCCGACTAGAGCTGTTTACTTCCGCGGTTGCGCATCCAATACAGGGTTTTTCGGCTGGAAGACCACCTCAACCGCCCCACCTGAAGCAGGAAATTGATCCTCCCGCCTCGCGGATTTGAAGAAAGATGGGACGGCAGTGACAGCGACTGGGTCGTACGTGAGTGTCATCCTAATATCCCTCCGGCTGCTCTGTCTGTCGTCGCGGTCGAGCGTTGTACATGATAAGCGTGCCCGACACGTGGTCGTTGATGTCTGCTTTGGGCGGCGGGGGCATATCCTTCCGTGCAGGGGAGCTGGAAAGGAACGAGTGGAAGATGCTGTCGCTGTACGCGCGGCTGCGGTTCTTGGGCTGGAGCGAGCCGCGTTTGGAGCCGGATGAGCTCAAGGAGATTGGGGAGTCCTTCCCGACGTCTACAATCGAATGAAACATCCTCCCCGTACGCGTGCAAGCTGACGGAAATGATCCCCAGCGACATTGTGTGGAACAATACCAGGCATCCGGCAAGAATACCAAGTTTTTTTGGCCATACGTTGATGAGCGACTTCTCGAGATCCGCACCCAATTGAAGACGGTGGGCTCTGCAGAGCGTAAGGAAGCTGAAACCAAGTATGTACCTTTTCAGCTCTGGTCAACTTTTCCTCGAAACTCAGGGCCATCTCTGCGTTGCAGGTTCTTCCTTGACATCCTGCGAGCTGACGTCAAGCGGTATCCGATACGGTCGGATGCCGTGGCTCAGCAAGTGTACACCAACGCGAAGCTCAAGCCCATCCAAGTGGCCATGGAGGCCGCAGTCAGAGGTTTCGTAGTCGATGGTGGCTCAATGGCTGTCGGCGCAAACGCGGAGTAGTAGCTGGGAGTGGGATGACCGGGTCCACAAGGCGCTGCCATGGCAGCGGTATAATATGTATGTGTCGCGTCGTTTGTTTCTTGCATACCATGTATATATGCATGCTGTCATGCAATTGAGAATGTTGTCTTCGGCCCGTGATCCATTTGTATGCGATTATGGCCCATCTATACGTATTGCTATCGGGCAAGGGCGCTATCAAAGCAGATGACCAGGGACGGGCGCTTCTATGTCTATGCTCGGACGGTGTTTGGATGATGTGTTTTCAGTGTGCTGCTAAAGATTGTTTGGATATGGGAGCTATTGTATGGATACAAGAAGGTCTAATTTTATATTTGGCAGACCCTGTCCGACCATATGGTTTGCGTATGGGCCGGGACATGTGTCCGGGCTTGTCCGACCACATCTGATGGAGGCTGCGATCGCTCGGCGGTGTAGATCCTGGCGCTTTGCCCGCCCGCTACTTACCTGATCTTGGCGGCTCCGATGATCGCCCACCTTCACGTGACACATCATGTGAGCTCTCCCACGGCTTTGCTTAAGTTGCTTTCGACATCCTTGGCTTGCGCCTTGTCCATCGCCTTCGTCAAGGCTCTCGTATCGGCTTCGGGGTCTCTGCACATATGTTCCCCAACCATTCGATTTCTATGTCTGTAGCGGCCGATTCACTTCTTGTTTCCCTCTCTCGATCAAGGTATATCACAAAGCACGATACCGTCTTCAGAAGGGAACGGCTACAAACTTAGACCAGTACTTATTGCTGCTGCAGCTGGCCATAGCTTATACCCTACTCCCCGGTGGAAAGTTGTGCCGCTTGTTAGCGCTGTGACTTTCGTCAAGGCTGCAGAGTCTCGGAACGACCACGCCTTGAGTACTAGTCCCCGGCCCGGCGGCCGGATACCTTCGGCGGGACGGTGAGTCAGGTTGAAACGCTTTACTGCTTGTATCTACTGTTGTCCCTAAGGTGTATCTAGTAGACCTTCCACCCCTAGGGGTGGTCAGGCGCGTTTGGTGACTCGGTCAGTTTGATCTCCGACCGGGCCAGATGTGGGTCCGACGGTGAGTCATTTCATGCTGCAGGGCCTTGAATCCTCTACGCAAAATCCTATCTTCCCTCTCGCGACGTTCTCAGCCTCTCAATGGTCTTAGTACACGGCGATACCCGCATCGTCATAGTCGGTGCCGGATGCTTCGGGCTTTCGACGGGGTATCATCTGTTGAAGAGGGGTTACAAGGATGTCACAATCCTTGATCGCTCCCCGGTGCTTCCGGCCCCAGACGCAGCTAGCACAGATATAAGCAAGAGTATGTATTTCATAGGTTCTTTGTATCATTATACTGATCGGAGCGACGTCGTCTCTCTTGTACTCCGATTCACAGTAGTCCGGAGCTCCTACGCGGACATATTCTATACGCGTCTTGGCAGAGAAGCTATCGCTGCATGGAAAGAAACCGATGAGTGGGGCGACACCTATCGCGAGTCAGCCCTTCTATATATGTCAACGAATTCAATCTCTCAGCCTGGATCGTTTTACTTCATTCAGATGCGGAGTATACTGTGCTACAGAAGGCGCGGACAGCTACATCGCCCAAGCCTATCAGAATGACATAACGGTCAACGCCGACGTACAGACACTCTTAACCCCGGAAGCGATACGCAACGTCTTCCCAACCACGGCTGAGCTCGGCCTTTCCGATGCGGCAAAAGGATTCCTCAATCGGGATGGCGGGTGGGCATTCGCATCACAGGGCATTCAGCGGTTAATGGACAAGGTGGCGGCTCTTGGCGGGAAGATTATTCCTGGAAAGACTGTTTCCGAGCTCACTAGGACTAACAAGAGGGTTTCTTCCGTGCGTTGTACTGACGGGAGCGTTCATGAAGCCGACCTCGTTATCCTCGCGGCTGGTTCTTGGTCGGCCTCATCGTTCCCAGACCTAGGATTGGATAGCCAATGCCTCGCTACTGGGTACGTGACATGAACCTTGCGAGTCTTTTTGGGATTGCGTCCTCAAGCGATTACTCAAATCCCAGACAAACCGTTGCCTTCGTCCAGTTGACCCCAGAGGAAGCTGAACGGTACCGAGCATGCCCCGTATACCTCGATTTCCACTCGGGTTTCTACGTGTTCCCAGTACGTCTTCTGGTTTAGGGAATCGCTGAACTGCCTCAATGACATGCTGTCCCCAGCCGAACAAAGATAACATCGTCAAATGCGCCATTCATTCCGGCGGGTTCGTTCAGAAGATCAAGATCGCAAACTCTGACGTCTACGTATCCACGCCTCGCACGGTGACCTCGGACGGCGTAGATGGACTACGGATACCCAGAGCAGCTATGAAAGCCCTAAGAACGAATCTCGCTCGCATCTATCCCGAGATCGGGAGTAAGCCTTTCTTTGGGACTCGTTTATGCTGGTGAGAACTCGAGTACTTCCCTCGTGGAGCTCTACTGACAAATGTCGCCTGGAGGTACACTGACTCGGCTGATGACAATTGGGTAATCGGCGCGCATCCAGAAATTGAGAACGTCTTCCTCGCGACGTCGGGATGCGGCCATGCATTCAAGGTAGATCTCGTTTTCGGATGGCGAAGAATGTTCCTGACAGTACTACTCCAGTTTCTGCCTGTCATCGGTCGACTCGTTGCCGACGCGATCGAAGGGAAACTCCCGCCAGAGCTGGTCAAGAAGTTCGCTCCGGGCCGCGCGCACGAGCACGATGCCATCGAGCCGTCGATCCGCCTTGCTCCACCTGCGAACCTCGTTTTAGACGAGCTATGTACCCCGGAGGATCTTCTGCCAGTCTGACAGTCGATAAATAGGAGTCTAGAATGACGTCCACAGAAGATTCTGACGTTGAAGCTCATGACCCACGTTAGGCTGTGTATGCGTACAATTGATTCAAAGCGCTCAAGCGGCTCCTGGTCAACGAAACAAAACACCTCGGTGTCAGGCAAGCGTCACGCTTGGCACCTATCGTTCGGCAGATACTGATACAATATCTGTGCATGATCTATCGAGTATAACATATACAATGAAGCACTGCTACTTATGATACTTTTCGATTGGAATACGCAGTATTGGATTTAAATTGTTCAAGGGCGCGAGCCGATCCATTCACCCCATGACCTGACCTCAGGGGGTATCCGGCCTTCGGTGTAGCCCCTCAAGCCTCCCTCAGGAATTTTCTTCGCGAAACTTTCGACGAAAAGTTGTGCGCATCGCGCATTGTTGAGCAGGGGCAGACCGAAGTCGACAGCGTTACTGGCGGGCGAACGATATCAGACTGAGAGTGCAGACCGAGCTAGCACAGATACATACCGTCGAGCGACGTAGTCCTCGTCCGTCAAGTCTTTGCCGCGCGCCTTCGCAAGGTTGATTACGCATTCGATGTCATACTCATCAAATACCTCGCGGAGCTTCCGCTTGTCGGTTTTGGGGAAGAATATCCGCTTCGCCGAGACGTATGGAATGCTGTTCAAGAACTCCTCGACAACTGGGGATGAGCAGTACAGCTTGAAGCCGAGATCAAGCAAGGTCTTTGCGATCGTCTTCATCTCAGGCTTCTTGATGTCTCCGCCGATAAGCACACCGGTGTTTGGGCGAGGCTTCTTGAAACCGGTCGTGCTCAGGAGCGACGTCCAGTAGGCTTCCTGTATGTCGCGCCCGAATGCTGCAACTTCACCCGTGGAGGCCATTTCTGCGCAGAGCCATCAACATCATCAACTAGAAGGCCCCACGCGGCTACTCACCAACGCCTAGGAAGGGATCTGCGCCTGCCAGCCGCGTCCATGAGAATTGCGAGACTTTGACTGCAGTGTAGTCGCGCTTTTGCGCCATTATGTCGACAGGCTCAGGCACGTTCTGACCTACAATGGCCGCCGTTGCGGTATCGATGAAGTTCCGGCCAAGCACCTTGGAGACGAAGGGGAACGACCGCGAGGCGCGTAGATTACACTCTATAACCTTGAACTCGGCGGCAGCGCCAGGCTCGTCGGCAGGTTTACGGATAACCTGCATGTTGTACGGACCGGAGATCTCAAACGCGGAGGCAACTTTCTCAGCAATTTGCCTCAAGCGGAGCATCTCGTCGTCGGTGAGGGAGAAGGGAGGGAGAACCAGCGTAGCATCGCCAGAGTGGACACCAGCGTTCTCGACATGCTCAGAGATAGCGTGTAAGAGGAGCTTGCCCTTGTGCGCGACGGCGTCAACATCGATCTCCTGAGCGTTGTCTATGAATTTGGTGATGACGACCGGGTGTAGAGGGGAGACCGAAGCGGCGGCAGAGAGGTTGTACTCGAGCGCGGATTCCTCGTAGACGACGTTCATGGCAGCGCCGGACAAAACGTACGATGGCCGGATAAGGACCGGGTAACCGACGCGCTGTGCGAACTCCTTCGCAGCGCCAACGGAGGAGACCTCCGCCCACTCGGGTTGGTCAACGCCGATGCTGTCCAGTATCGATGAGAACTTGTGTCGGTCCTCAGCGCTGTCGATTCTTTCAGGGTCGGTACCAAGAACCTTGACATCGGCCTGTTTCAGGCGAAGCGCGATGTTCTGAGGGAGCTGACCTGGATAGGAGGAGGTGAGAAATTGATCGTCGAACGATTTTGCGATAATAACTTACCTCCAACGCTGACGATGACACCTTGCGCCTGCTCGAGCTCGTAAATATCCATGACACGCTCAAAACCGAGTTCCTCGAAGTATAACCGGTCGGCCTCATCGAAGTCCGTCGAAACGGTCTCAGGGTTGTAATTGATCATGATTGTGCGGTTACCCATCTCGCGGAGTTTCCGGGCGCAAGTGACGGCGCACCAGTCAAACTCGACACTACTGCCGATACGGTAGACACCACTACCAAGGACCATCGTGCCATGCTCATCGAACTTGACATCGTGCTCGGAAGCGTTGTAGGTGGTGTAGAGGTAGTTCGTGTGGGCAGGGTACTCAGCGGCAAGCGTATCAATACGCTTCACGAAGGGGGTAATGCCAAGGGACTTGCGGTGAGCACGCACGGTGAGCTCGTCGGAGGAAACTAGGTCGGCGATGTGCACATCCGAGAAACCCATACGCTTCGCGCGCTCCATAAGCTCGTGGTCGATGGCCTTTATGGAACCTGCCGCCTTGAGGGCGTAAACCGTATTGACGATATTCTCGATCTTGTACAGGAACCACTGCGGCGGACGGTGGCGTTGACTAGCGTCATTTGGGCGGTAGAAGAAGACAGCGTACCTTGTCGATCTTCGTTAAGTCATGCAATTGGTCGACCGTATAGCTCTTGTTGAACATCGCGTATGCAATCGCAAACAGGCGCATGTCGGTAGGTTTGCTGAGAGCGAGATCCAGATCCTCCGGCTGTACGTAAGCCTCGAAACCTTTCCAGCGCGGGTCGACCTGGCGAATCGCCTTTTGCAGGGACTCCTCGAACGTGCGTCCTATAGCCATGACTTCTCCGACAGACTTCATAGCGGAGCCGACCTCACGGTTCACGTTCGTGAACTTCGCGAGGTCCCACTTCGGAATCTTAGTGACGATGTAATCCAGAGAGGGTTCGAAGCATGCCGTCGTCGTCTTCGTGACCGCATTAGGCAGTTCCGGAAGCGTATGACCGAGAGCGATCTTGGCTGCAGTGTATGCGAGCGGGTAGCCAGTAGCCTTCGACGCCAACGCACTACGGGGACAGGTGAGCCAGATCAAAGGAGCGATACCGACTACAGGGCGTACCTCGAACGACTCAGCCGAGCGTTTACCTCGATGACACAGTACTCCCTTGACGTCGGGTTGAGCGCGTACTGGATGTTGCATTCCCCAATGACGCCCAGGTGTCGGATAACCTTCAGAGCAGCAGACCGGAGCATATGGTATTCGTCATCCGGGAGGGTTTGCGAGGGCGCAACAACAATGGAGTCGCCAGTGTGGGTGCCGAGGGGGTCGAAATTCTCCATGTTACAGCAGATGATAGTGTTCTGAAGCATGTCTCAGTCCAACGATCGGTCATAGGGAGACGAATGCACATACGTCCGCAGCGTCTCGTACGACTTCGTACTCCAACTCCTTCCAACCCTTCATACTCCGTTCGATAAGCACCTGCGGGCTCAGGCTCAAGCTCTTCGCCGAGAGATCGCGCAATTCGTCAGGGTTGTTTGCAAAACCGGAGCCAAGACCACCGAGCGTGAAAGCCGAACGCAAAATAACTGGATAGCCAATCTTCTCTGCGGCGCTAAGGGCATCGTTGACCGAAGAAACTGCCGTCGACTGAGCGACTGGGATATCGATCTCTGTAGGACGATGTAATCAGCTTGACATGTCGGGATCGTTGCATCACGATAACGACCGAAGGCGGAAGAGTCAAAACAGACATTTGATGGCGGTGCGCGAACCGCTTGCCATAACGCCTCGTAATCACCCAACTCTGACTATTGGCTAGACGCGAGTAGAGTCAAACTCTCACGCCTACCTGATACACTACGAGTGTAAACACTAGTGGCGTTATGGCCTGTGATGAACGCCTCGTAGGATTCAATCCGAGGTGCCCCACTCCAATCCTATACCTGGTGCTGCTAAGACGGCTTGGCGGAGACAACACCGATTAGCGCACTCCAGCAACCGGTGTGAACGCTCCGAACCTCAACAGGAGCGCTGTAGTGACACAAACGACAGTGTTTCATAGCCCATGCCAAGTCACTTTCGCGGAGCGAATAGTCTCCGGATGAGAAGCCAAACGAGGCACGATCACGTGACCAAGTTTAAACCTACAAGCTCTCCGCCTATGAAACGGCCGTATGACAGCAGAAACCATACACACATCCAGATACAACAAAAACTCACCCTTCAAAGCCTGTACGAAAAGATCCCGATCTTCCGAAACTTCCAGCGTGCGAATGGGAGTGCCGAGCACGCGAACGCCAAGACGGTCCAAGACACCCATACGGTCGAGCTCGATACCAACGTTCAGGGCACTCTGTCCACCAAAGGTGAGCAAGATACCGTCCGGACGCTCCTTCTCCAAGACGTAGGCGACGTAGTCCGCAGTGACAGGCAGGAAGTAGACCTCCGACGCGAGCTGGTGCGACGTCTGCCACGTGGCGATGTTGGGATTGATGAGGACAGCGTCGACGCCCTCCTCACAAAGTGCCTTGAGTGCCTGAGAGCCGGAGTAGTCGAACTCGCCAGCCTGGCCGATGCTGAGACCGCCGGAGCCGACGATGAGCACCTTGCTGACGTCGGGACGGGGGATTTTGGGCAGGACCTTCGCCGAGATCTTGCGTGCGAGTTCCGAGGGAGAGTTGAGGACGTGCTCCTCGTCGTCCTGCTGGCCGTACGAGCCGACTGCAGCGCGAGCGACCGCCCTGACCGGCCGTGTCGGGGCGAGAGCGCGACGAGCATGCGAAACGTGAAACTGTCGGGTAAAGCGCGCCGAGCCAAAGAGCCTGGAGGGGCTCCAGGCTTGCTGGAGCCGCAGTAGACCTGCGCTCATCGTCGTGGACGGTGGTGGCAAGGAGCAGAGAGCAGCTGGATGACTCGAGAGTTCATCCAACAATTTTGGCCGTCGGTGTTATCATGCCAATTTGGGATTGGCGATATCAATCCACAAAACCGCAATTGACTCCACCACCCGCTTCTTCCCAGCGCGGATTCGGGTTGGGCAAGACATCGTCCAGGACAGCCAATGCATACGATGGAAGGAGCCTGAATGGTAGTGGCAACAGAGCAAGAGCGTCGCGCCTGAGCCAGCTGGACCTTGGAATCATGCTTGCATGGCGTGCAACCGCTGCGCGATCATGGAATATTGCCGAGCATTTGTTCACATGTGTTACAGCTCCCGTGTATTTCGATACATGTCATGTCGGCAAACCTTTCTTGCATTCTGGGCTTCCTGACCAGGCAAGCGTAAGATCATTGTTTCAAAAGTGCCTGGCCTGGTTTTTCCCACTTGCTTTATACTGTAGTGCATAAATGCGTGTAGTTTCTATCTTGAGAATGTTGCCGAAGAAAATCATTCGGCTTAGCTTGAAGTTAAGTATTTTCAGCCGGATCGGGCATGAAAACCTACGTCTTACTTTCCAACATACTTCCCTTGCGCACCATGATTCGACATCTCTAAGCACCCTCAACACCTAGAGTCTTACAGCATGGCAATACCGTGGTCAAGCACTGTGTAGCGCCGCGGTGTGCACAACCGTTGTCGGCAAAAGTGTGTGGTGTGGCAAACGTCCCAAGATTTAACAAGCGAAAGGCGCCTCAGGCCGCCGTGTAAGATGTAGCGAAGAACCCCAAGCTCTTATCTCGAGGTTAAAGTGCTCCATGGGCTTCTTGTTGACAATTTGAGAAGGAACTTATGTAGCTCACGGTGCTCCGATAACGTTTATATTCCCCGGCATGGGGAGCACGACGATAAGCCTACCTGTAAGCGAAATTTCTCGGGAAAATCCGCAAAACGCGTAGGTGAGCCGATACACTGCGGCGCTTGACCACGGTGCACTCATAAGTATTGGAAAACTGACGTTCTGATTTCTCTGGGCGACGGAAACGCTACGCTAAAATTGACCACCAAGTAAGGTACCGGAGGTCTGCGTTGGCATACCCTGCGTATGTGATGCCCAATGCCCATACGAGCAGGAAAAATGTGTTTCTGTCCGGAAATCGATTCTTATATAATCAGAATTTTGGACAACCGAGCGCGTACAGGTGCGCCTGAGAGCGTCCTCGTCATCTTAGCTGCCTTTCGACTCTCTGGCGGCAGACCGACGCACTCCCCCGATATGATCCTCGACGCTTCGACACAAGACGTCATACAGCATCCATGACGCAACGTTGTCAAGCTAGCATATATACCGCCTCTGTTGTTGAACTCGCAACAACACTCCTTGACCCCGTCTCCCATCCTCCCCTGCCTCCAAGTCGAGTTCATAGCCTTCACTATGCGTGCTCAAGCAGTCGCTACTCATCACCGTCTATGGCACCACGGTATGTAGCTATAGCTCGTATTCAACTATCATGGTAGGTCCCTCCTGGTGAGTGTGTCAGATCCCTTTGACGCAGCGAATCTGCATACATATATGCGTGGTATTAACCTCTGGGGTTTTATGCCCAAACGTGGCTGAGGCGACATGAATGCTTTGTTGATGGCTCTTCGCCGGTAATTCCATATCTCATGGCGAAACACGACGAACACACGGGACGCATGCTACCGTGAAGATCATGGTAAAGAGGTGTGACTAACATGACGATTTCCCGCCAGGACTAGTACCACTGTAAGCCCCTCTGTGCCAGCATGATCCGTTTGCAAGAGTAACTGCTCTGCGCGTACGATACCCTTACGCGTACGTGTCTGCCATGCATGTACCCGAGACCTCAGAGAGGGAGTTCTGCGAGCGGCGGGGATAATACCGGGCCTACTCCGAAAGGCAGTAAGAGACGAGTCCCAGGTACGCAATCGTGGTCCTCGGGCGGTACGTCTGCAACTCGTACCCTAGTCTTCGTTAAAGCCGCCTTCAGGTTGGACCCCCGTTCCAACTTGTAACCGTCAGACAACCTAACCGGGGTCGTGAGTGGTTCAGCTGCTAACCGGCTTGAGGATGCTCGTTTAGAGGGCCTATCTTGTGCTGCAAGCATGATCTCCTTCCGCCCCTCTTGGTGGCATGTTATTCAAGTGAGCGCGTCGACGCGGCCGCTCGAACGCTCGAACGCTCGGACAACAACTCTCGCTGTGTCTATGTCGCCTCCAGAGGCACAACTTGTTCCACATGATCGTGTCGACGTATATTGACGTCGCTGTCGAACGTTGAACGTTGACCTCCACCATCGCACGCTGCTCCTATGTAGGCGGTCTTGATCTCCTCTTGAACGCTGTGACATGTATAGTCAAGGCCAGCTTTCTGCTGGTTCATACGGTATGTCTTGCGCTTGATAGGCAATAATACACAGTAAGCCGGCACGAAATTTGTCAGGCTGGTACACCGCTCAACGAGACACCTTCAAGTTTGAGCTACATGGAAACTATATGCGACATAGGCGCACAAGGTGAGTAGGCGCAAGTGTTGAACTCTCTGTAAATGTAACGATGCACAGTCAGAATCCTTCCCCTCAATTTCTCGTGTTCCTGCAAAGGTATGCGCGGACGTCCAGGACCGTGGAGTCTAGCTGAGTTCATTTTTCCCCCTCCTCACGCGGTCGCAAGCTAGCATGCAGTACGATGCAATGGAGGGAATGGCGCCGTATTTCCGAGCCACAGCCTACGGTGTGTATGTGCAATAGGCATCGGTAGCCTAGCGCTCCTACTACGCCGACGTTGTCCCACGTGCCCGGTGAGTGTTTTTGTTCCACCTGATCGTGAAAAAACCTGTAATGAGTGCCGATAATAGAAGCAAGCTATATTGTAATATGGCAGATGATGTTTCAGGTGCAAACCAAGGATTTTCACTGCACAAACCGAGATAAGCCGAGACTGGAATGCTGTCATTCTGGCCCGGAGTTCTATGGTCGCTACCGAGAGGATACAAGCCAATCAAGCGCGAGGGCAGAGGGATAGATGTGCAGACTATCGAGGTATTTGACTGTCTTCGACTGCCTCAGGTCCGGATCCAAGGGAATACCCTGAAAGTTTCAGCCCTCAGCACGTGCATGGGCCCACTTGGACGAGTTGTAAAGGTTATGTGATATGGAGTGAAATGCATCGGAATCTACAGTCTAGGTCTATTGGTATTGGTACAGGTACAGCTTGCTACGGCATTACAAGACATGTCAACTATGCAAGAAACCAGTACAGCAATCTATCCGATCCCTGAGCCCCTCAAGCGAATAAGCCAACTACGACGTCCTGCATCTTCCCGTCCCGGATCGCCTCGTGGATGAGCGAGATGTCCTGACCGATCGTCTGATCCTCCACCCCAGGGCCCTCCTTGAAGTCGTGCGCGTTCTCCACGCCATGCATGCGGATGCCGAGCGTCGTGCGGATGAACTCGTACACCCCGCGCGACTTGCCCAGGTACGCCGCAGCGGGCGCCGAGCCCTTCGCGCCGCTCAAGTACTCCTTCCGCAGGCGCACGAGCGAGGCGGTGAGGCGCTCCGCGAGCTGCGCGCGGAAAGAGACGATCCCTGCGAGCGCGTGGGACCCGTCCTGCTGCGTAAGAAAGTCGACGAGGGGCGTCGTGGTCGACGCCGCGACGGCGCGCATACGGGCGGTGGCGTCCATGGTGCTCGTCGACTCGAGCGAGCGGCGGATCTGGCGGGAGAGCACTCCGAAGATGGAGTCGAAGTCGGCGTCCGACAGGTGCTGGCCGAAGGAGGCCTGGAGCTGCTCGCGGAGGATGTCGTCGACCTCGAGCTGGAACTCGTGCTGCAGCGCGCGGAGGTCGAGGGCCTGGCAGAGCGCGTATAGGTAGCTCGACATGAGGAGCGAGAGCACCTCGAGGGAGTTGAGCGTCGCTCGTGCAGAAATAAGCGCGAGAGAGTTGACTGCCTGGTTATGCATCTCCGCCGACTGAACGTGCGTCGAGACGGGGTTGGCGAGGTACCCAAGCTCGCCAACGTATGCCGCAGCGTGGATGTCGATGCCCTTGGCGAAGTAGTTGTGGGAGGGATCCGTCGCAGCGAGGTTCGGCGGCAACCCACGGTTCATCGCCGGGTTGATGAGCTCGGTGCACTGCGCGAAGAGCAGCTTGCCGATGTGGTGCAGGGCGAGCCGCGTCTTCTCCATTGCATTGGTGACCGACATGGCCTGGAAGTTTCCGCCGTGGTGTACTTCCCCGGTCTCGCCGTCAATGAGCGGATTGTCGGTAGCTGAAACAGAGATTAGTCCATCACAGCGCTGGGTCAATGAGACATGTCTACATACTGGAGTTGCACTCGATCGTGACCGCAGCGAACGCAGACAGGATGTCCTCCACTTGGGGACCCAAGAACTGCGCAGACGTGCGCAGAGGGTACCTGTCCTGGCGCAGCTCTCCGATATCGGCGGAGATGTGCTTTTCCTCCTCAGCGGTTACTGCGAAATGCGAACCATCAAGGAGCTCGGTGATCGTCTCCGCGACTTCGACCTGACCGGGATGCGGACGCGCGACGGCGTGAATGAACGGCGCGAACGACCCGCTCGCCCCAAGCATCGCCTCGGTGCACATCGCAGTGCACACTTGGGCGAGCAGCGAGAGGTGAACGGCCTCTTGGATAGCGAGCGCACCAACGGAAGCGGAGAATGCAGTACCATTCAGGATACCAAGGTGCTCCTTCGAAGCCAAGGAGATGGGCTCGATGTTGTGAGCCGCCAGTGCCTCGCGAGAGGACACGATCCTGCGCCCGCGGAAGGTCGAGGGGCCATCAAAGCAACGGATGGAAGGGTTTCCAATAAGCAGCCCTGCGATGTACGAGAGCGGGGACAGATCTAGAGTGGCGGTGAGGTTAAGCGTGGGAGTCGAGGATAAAGCGGAACTTGTGGCACTAACCTCCCGATGCAGAGATACTCCCCCGGAGTGGGACAAGTGGGACGATGTTCTCGCGGAGGAGCGCGCCCATGCGCTCAATGAGTTCCCACCGAACGCCCGAGTGCCCTCGGATGAGGGAGTTCATGCGGATGAGTATGGCACCCCGGACCCAGGCCTCTGGCATGCTCGTCGAAGTCAAAGGGTCCAGCAGCGGCAATGCAACGGGGGCCGAGACGGTATCGGAGGGCAACACTCCACATTGCTGGTGCTGGAAGAGCGCGAGACCGAGCGTGAGAGGGTCGCTCGTTCTCGTGTCGGCTACAGTGATGACAACGGTGAGAACTTCTTCGACTATCGGACTGTATGAACGCTCACCACTTCCGCCGAAGCCAGTGCTGACGCCATACACGCTTTTCTGGCTGTTGACCTTGTCGACGATGACTTGGCGGCTTTTGAGGACGCGAGTCTGGATCTCGGACGAATCGTCGAGCACCACGCCGGCGTTGTAGCGCGCCACGGCCGCTACAGCGGCAATGGAGAGCGTTTCCCCATCAACGACAATAGGTTGTCCTTGCCTGTGCGCGTCATGATCAGCAACATATCGCTTTGTATTGGAGTAGCTTCCAAGAGATGCGGATAGATTACCAAAATGGGCAGTATTCAGCGCCATCTCGGTCACCAAGCCGTAACTCTCGACGTAATGTCACGAAGATCTTTCGAGCTGCTCGCGGCTGCACGAAAAGGCTTCGCCACACTCAAGAGCAAGCACCCACTTGTAGGACTCCAAGGCACGATGGGCTTCGATGAATTTGCGGAGAAGGGTAGCAGCCGGCGAAGCCTTCCGACCCTCAGGCTCGGTGTGCTGGGGCGCGGGCACGACGGCCTTCTTGAGAAGAAGAGGGTCGTAGGTGTTGTGAGTCTTGGTGAAGGCGTAGCCAGGCATGGTAGTATAGAACAGGGGGAAGCGTTGAGTGGAGAGGGGAAGAGGGAAGCTGGGCTACAGCCGATCTGTTGTGGGGATGGTCTTCGTTCGATGACATAGCGAGTCTTTATAGCCCTCGAGAGGCTAGTCGACGTAACACCCAGTACGGGAGATTGGAGAAGCTGTTGTCTAGACGGAAGACGACCGTTCGGTAACCGGTAACGCTCGCGCGCCCATCTGCGCTGTGACTTGCCCGGCCGGATCTTCCGGGTCCCCCCAAGTCCTTGTGCACTCTCCAGTCCCATGGAGCACCCAGGTCCTCTATCTCTATCTTTGGGAACCCCTGATAGAAAATACAATCGTCATCGAACGTCCTAGAAACCCATCCTATTTCTTTCGCATCGTCTTTCATCCTACCTCAATTACCTCCCCCCGGCCGAGCAAGAGCTTTACGGCGCCCACCGGCCGGAGGCCGCATAGCACGTCCAACGAGGTGATCTACCGGAGTCATTCAAAATCCACAGCCTTCATAGTATATCACGTCAATGAATGCCTGTCACTGTCAACATTCATGGAGGCACAGCAGCCAGTCATTGTCGTTCTTGTTCCTGCTCGGGACCCCTGCCCATCCGTTACGCCCGTGAATGCTCGCACATCGCCTTCCTGTATCAAGATACCGCTCCGCGGCTGTAGCGGCGGCAGATGCGACGGTAAATCTACTCGAAACAGACATGGCGTTGCAGCTTGGCAGGTGATAGGACAAAATTCTGTAGGGGTTGGTTCACGCCCTCCCACGGAAGACCGCCTACTACGCATTGGAGTACCAAGCGTTCTGCATAGCGCGTTTCTTCGAGCGTTTCGTAAGGAAAAGATCGTGGGGTGGCGATCGGTGTGCGTCGGGCACGATAAGGAGCCCGTCTTCGAGGAGCGAGCCCTAGCGCATCGGCAACGTGGGCATGCCGGTAACTTGCGCTCGTAGATCAACCCGATTGCGTTCATTCAGTTCGGGGCGAGTAATAGAGCGCGGGAGTGTATGCAGAAGCAGCACAGAAGTCGGCGTTTGATCTCACGAAGGTTTAATGGAGGGCGCTCCGCTAAGGAGGCTGCGCATATCGGTGGCGAAGGGATTCGCAATGAGGAGATTATGCGCATCGGGCAGTCCTTGCTTGCGGCGCGTACTCGCATGAACGCCGCACTATTCGGAGTGTGGGTCGCGAACGCAGCGGAAAACCACCGATGCCACTACGCGGAGAGGGAAGCGTGCTTTCCCGAGCGCCGTCGAATAGCCCTAAATCTCAGTACATTCTATTCGCAGGATATGGCACCGTCGCGGATTTGTTCACGGTACGCTTCCTCCTTGTGGCGGGCGTGCCGTAAACGCCACACCTCCGCATCAACACCGCGCGCTCTACGGCGTAACTCTACGACCAACGCTGGTGAGAAATTATCAGCCCACTGACCAGAAGCGTCGAAGCAAATGGTACGTTCTGGTAGGCTGTTCCTGAAATTACTAACACTTCGATATCGACATGCCGACTGCAGTGGGATTGTGAGTGTAAGAATAACCTTGCGTTTAGCGGCCTAGAAGTGAGGAAGCTGATCATTGTCGAGACAGCACCGCATGCAACGAGTCCACCACAGTGTAGAATATACCTTCCTTAGAATGCAGTACCGTATGAATGCGTCCGGAAATGTGAGAGCTGCTGTGTAATATTAGCCAATGGCCACGGTCGCGTGTGCCCCTTCTGATTGAGATGTTCGCACTACAGCCGATAGATAAGTGTGCGTCTTTCATTGTCTTCATTGAACGATGAGCCCATGAGATAGTGCGCGTAGTACATGGAATGCTTAACGTAGGGACGCGTCGAACGACTTTTTTTCGTGATCAAGCTGAGTGGAGCGTGCCGGTATCAGCGATCCTGCGCCCGAGAGATAGTGGACATGAAACCTAGTACCTAGCTTGTGGGTGGGAGCAGATCGACCACGGCGATGTACTAGACCTCGCAGCACAGTAAACCTAAGCCGACGTGAGAGAGACACTTGGCCGGCGTTGGCCATCTCAACGACAAACCATCAGAGTCTCGCGGACTTCCCGGACCTTCTGCAGTGGAGTCCTTTGACGAGACACTTCCCCATGCCGCTATGAATCTAAGCCGCGGACGTCTGTCCTTTCCTCCTGTAATATTGCGAACCCTATTTGTTGACAGAAGAACGGATGCGCACCGCCGGCCCGTGGAAAGGCAGGAACCAAGACGTCTGAAAGAGCGGGAATCATTACAATCCGTCTCCCACTCCTCGCGCCCGCCGCCGGCCATGCACAGCAGCTACATTGGCAGACGCTCTAGAAAACTGGGAAGCTGGAACAATCACTTATGCGTGACGCCGCGGGATCGAGGAGAGGCACAGCAACCTCACTCTTTGTGGCAGCCGTTCCCAATCGCTTCGATAGCATGCTGTCTGGGGCCGCCGCACCGAGGGTCAAGCTGGAACTCGATGCGGCGTTGACCCACGACTGTCGTGGCAGCAATGATTGAGAAATTGTTATGAACTACCACGATCAGTGTGATTGGCATAACCGATGTTGACGACAGGAAGAAGATCAAGGCATGTGGTGGTGTGCTTCCTTGCTTCGCCGCTGTCGAGCTGGACCTGATGAGAACGACTTGAAGTGGACGTTGTCAAGAGAGGATCATCGCAGGCCGGAGCACCCGAAGGAGCGGGCGGAGGTTCCGGATACGGCCGGAGAGGGAGAGTATCGTGGGAATCAGACCCGGATCAGGCACGTGCGCCAACTTTTCCAGTTGCAGAACGCAAGCGGCATCAGCACTTACAACCTTCCCAACGTTCTGGCTACTGCTGCTCGACAACAATGGTACGTTTCAAGCCTCTGAGGGCATCATAGTTATTTAGTTTGATATCTGTACAGGTAAAGGCCAAAAAAACCCGCAAATTCGCCGCTGTGAAGCGGATGCTCAACCCGAAGGACATTCGGTTGTGCGTACGTCCCTCTAGTCTCACCTCTCCAGGTCTCTCAACGCAGAAACATGGGATAGGAAGGAAAATCAGCTCAAAAAAAAGCAGAAAGAGGAGGCTGAGAAGGAGAGGCTGGTTAAGCGAGCGTACGTCTTAGTTCTTTCATGACATGCTCGGCCGGCTCTTCATGTCAGATGGGTAGTCCCCAGGTCGCATCTTCTCTCTTCCTCCAACACAACACTGCCCTCGTGCCCCCATACAGAGTCCTCATCGATACCAACTTCATCAATTTCAGTCTGCAAAACAAGTTGGAGCTCATTAGCGGCATGATGGACTGCCTGTACGCCAAATGTAAGTAGCACCCGCCTTACACCGTCGGACCTTCCTCGCGCGTCCTCATCTTCACGACGGATTGGCACTCGCTTCCGTAGGCATACCATGCGTGACAGACTGCGTGATGGCGGAACTGGAGAAGCTCGGGCACCGCTACCGTGTCGCGCTCAGGTGAGTCTCCACTTCTCTGTGCCCTTCCGCCCCGCCCCTTAACACGCGACCTTCAACCAACCAGAGTTGCGCGAGATCCGCGGTTCGAGCGGCTGACGTGCTCGCACTCGGGCACATATGCGGATGACTGCCTCGTCCAACGCGTGACCTCCCACAAGTGTTATATTGTGGCAACGTGCGATCGCGAGCTGCGCCAACGGATACGTAAAATACCTGGCGTGCCACTCATGTATATCGTGCGGCGGCGGTATGCCATCGAACGGCTGCCGGATCAGGGTGCTCCCGTATGAAGCTGTTGTCGCCGCCTTTCTGGTCTTCTCGCATCTCGTCGCTTCCGGTCAGTAGGATAGCCATTGTGAGTAAATTAATTTGGTCATATGGCGTATTGACAGGCGTTGATCGTGGCCTTATCTTGTTTGTAGGTATCGTAGTCTCCATATGCTCGGTATCACCACCCTTCTCGCGGCTGGACATTCAAGACGTCCGCTACCGATTTATCATTATCCCCGCGCGCCATTGCGCCACTTTTTCGACGTAGGAATGAGCTGATCCGTTAGCAAGACGTCCATATACCGGCTCCGTCCCAAGTTTCTGTGCGCTCGATATGGCGCGATTTAAGTCGAGTCCCTCATGGTCATTCTGCCATGACTAGTATCACAAAGCGTCAATGGTGGCGAGCTCTGATAGGGCAGGCCTCATTCCACTTAGTTAAGGGAGGGGGAGGAAGTCAGCATACTCACGAGCGAATAAGCCTACTCCAGGTCTCAGCGAAGCCGACGTCGATGTACCTGACTGTTATCTCCCACGACGGACGGAGGAGTGCCGAGGAGTCGACAACGTCATGGTCAACCCGATGCCCAATCATCTCCGCGGCGGGGTAGAACTGAGGACGCGGCTTGGCCGTCTGATACCGGATATGCTCCGTGTTCATTCCACTACGGAAGTTGGCTCGTGATGGCATCCCGGGCTCGGAAGACGTTGTCGGGCGTTGGGCCTTCGGCAACCGACCTAGACTTGGTCACGGATCTCGGAGAGTCCTGAATTTATCGTTCACGCAAAGAGGATACCTACGTACCCTAGGAATAATCGTTGTTGTATAGAGGACTAATGATTCCATGCCTTATTCTGACTGATAAGCAGGTCTCGTCCACTTGTGCCCTAGTCTCAGAACCGCCGGTCGGACATGATGAGTTACGTCCGAGGTAATGTGTCAACATCTCATACTTAGCAAGGGGCAGCTCGGACCCTGAGACTTGCCGAGGCGTGAGCTCAAGTGCCGCGTACATCGACAAATAGAGCCAAATAACGCGTCGCGTCGCGCTTCCACGCCACAGCCAGCAAATGTGTCCCGGTATCGCAGAGACGGACACATACCCTTCCCTCTTCACATCATCTCCACACTCTGAGAGTATTTGAGCGATGAGCAAGAAGGACGACGACAACATTTCCGAGGATTACCCTTACCAATGGACCCCGAAGTCCGAGGGGAATTTGCAGGACTTCCTGGGAAAGGTTCGTGGATCCTTCAGCGGACACCGCCGCATTTGTCGCAAGTCCCTTGACATGACAATCACATCTATCAGTACAAACCGTCAATGGTACAAAATGACGGGACCAAACCGGTGTGTGTCTGCATTAAGCAAGTCGCGCTGCGGGCGGTGCTCACCTGTCATGCCCGAATGTAGTGGCTGTGGGTCGCGAAGTCTGACCGCCCTCGAGAAGTTGAGGATGCCGAGGCAGCTATCAAGGAAGCCGCAGACTATCGTACGTACACGAACGAAACCTGCGCCCAGGCGGTGGTTACTCAGAGCGCCCACAGTCACCGAAGTCACGGATCGTGTGCAGAAGATACAGGTTAGCGCAGATGGGCGGCCTCTGACAAGTCAGGGGACTGCTTTCTGTCTGAGCGTTGGCTTGAGATACTCATGTGTTGCATTACTCCAAGAACGACGACTCCATCCCTGTGCGGGCGAACAAGAAGAAGGGTCTCAAGAGCAAGAAGGAACTACGCGAAGAGGTGCGGTGATATTTCAGAGTCTCTGTCACCATTCTCCAATTTGTTATAATGTATCAAGGTCCAAAATGAAGCCACACAGAAGCTAAAAGAAATCGCTGTGAGGCATGGCTATGTCTCCGGAAAATGGTATGACTCAACGCCGCAACGTCGCAAGGCCCAACTCATACAAGGCTGTCAGGCTCATCTTTGCCCCTCCCGAGAAGGTAGACATGATATGGAGTTCTCTTGCAAGTATGTCTTCAGCACAGTCATGTTTGACATTCATGAGCGCGACTCACCTCCCAAAGACTCGCTCGTCTCGGGCCCGCTGTCCTCTACAAGTGCCTTCCTTGCCAAGGTCGCGACCAGCCCGCAGAATGACACACCTAATTACTCGCACCTGATATGCGTGTACATGCCTGACGCTTACGATCAGGGCAGCGTTACGGAGGTTCGCAGGCCGGATTGCTGACTTTAAGAACTTGTATCTCCTAACAGTTTCGGGGTTACAGGTCATGAAGGTGCTCCTTCGCAACCACGGCATAAACTTGATGGGAGTCAAGACGAACCTGTACACGTCAATAGGTGCGCCTCTACCACCGGCCCTTGATAGGATTATGCCTCTGATGCGTCTGGTGTCTGATAAGGCCTTGATAGCAAGCATCCCAGCGGTGTCTCATCGACGGTATGTCCGCCGACGGACATTCCTTATGGATAGGTGTATTAATGACATCACATATATTTAGGTCTGGAAAAACACAGCCCTCATGAAGGACACCGAAATCAAGGTACGCTTCAGCTGTACCGCCCGACGATCCCGTAGTCTCACACGCTTCCGATCAGGCGCTCAAAGACGAATATTATGCTGAGCTCAATGCCGCGAAGACCGCAGCAGTGGAGGAAGCAGCCTCCAAGAAGGCTGAGAGCGGTGCAGCCACCAGACCGAAGCCGAAGCCGAAGCTCAAGGACAAAGCTGGGGCGGACGACCCATTCGCTTCCGACGACGAGGGTGACACAGAGGACACCAAGCCGACAAGTAAGAAGGCTGCAAAACCAGCCCCTTCGTCCGGCTCCAAAGCGAAAAGACCCGTACCCAAGAAGGCCAAAGTGGCCAACGACTTTGCATCAGATAGCGATGACGGGGAAGCGGAGGCCGCGCGTAAGGCGGAAGTGAAGGCAAAGAAGGCTGGCACGACCAAGAAGCGCAAGGGCGCCGAGTTGGACGAGGAGGTGGAGGAAGAGGCGCCAAAAAAGAAGAGGTGGCGGGCGTGACTGCGAGTTCCCTGGGACACTTTTCATTTCTCGTGCAGTACCTCGTGCTCTCATGCTTGCCGCTGTCGCTGACCAGTCGCTCTCCGCTTTAATCATTTATTCGATGTTCCCATGGAGGTATGACCCCTTTGATGGGCACCCTGGCGTCTGGCCTGACTTGGGATTGCATAGGAGTTGTTTTGCAGTGCAGGGAACGTTCAGCCTTTATTGTTCCACTTTGGGATGCTTGCCTCGCAGCGGATAGAGACGCGTACTGCTGGGTCGTGTCGGCCTCTACATCTCCCAGGCCTGTGCTGCGGAGGCGTTCATTTGGGACACAATGCGCCTCGCCCGGGGCTACCCGGGACTGAGCGCGATCATACATGGGCGACTACTTCATACCGCATCGTAACCAGGAGCGGAAAAATTGCTGCAGGGTTGTGTATTCACAGACAATTCGGTTCTTTGCTCTGTCCCGACGCATGGGAGAGGAGCTGTCCACCGCTTGATCGCCCGTTTTTAGCTCGGTTTGACTCGTGAACTCGCAAGGATATGGCGCTCCGTACCCAGCGGTCCCGCAACCGTTCTTCGGCAGTCCTCAGTTCCCACCTGTCCCTCCTCCTCGTCTCCTCTTCCACGAGCGATGCACTCGCCAGCGACACCCCGAGCCCTATCTTCGTCCAGGTTCCTCGTTAGCCCATGGAGACCGTGGAGCATCCCATCAGGATGGACGTCGATCCGGAGGAGACTCTGTGGTTTACTCAACAAGGTGGCGCCCGCTAACGTCGACCGCATCGCTGATCACTTCGCTGCCTTAGCCATCAATCTAGGTAGATCAGGGGATGTAAAAAGTGTTGAAGCGGGGGGCCAGATGATCGTACATCGATGTACGGTAGACCCAACGCGGATCGGGCTCTATGCAAAGCTGGTGCAGAGAGCGGCTGACGCACTAGAGGGGGAAAGCCTCGCTTGGCGAAGCGTGGACCCATACCATCTCGACGACCCTGCGACCTCCCTGCCAGCAGCAGTACAAAGCACTCTTCTAGCCAACTTGGTATCGGCTTTACGGGGAGGATGCGAGCAAGACGCATGTGCCCTGGCAGCATTCGCCGGAGAGCTGCTCGTTTTCGGCATCTTGTCCCCAGAAGACGTCAAAGACGTCGTCGTGTCTGTTTTTCAGCAGGTCTCAGGCAACTCCGCTATATACTGCGTCTTGCTCTGCCGCATGCTCAGGCGTATCGTCAATTCAACGGAGGCATCGCACCTGATCAATTCGCTATCCCTCGTATCACGCATCGAAGCCGTTCTTGAAGAGGACACGATCTCGTTGATGGTTCGTTACATGATGACGGTAAGTCCGTCTCTGTGGACTCAAGCACCTGGTCTGAATCATATGGCTGCGATAGAGCCTGCTAGACCATTGCATGTATCCCCGACCTCAAGATGCGTTCGCAGACATTCCGAGGAGTGAGATATATGGACTCCACGACGATCGGGTCGAGGATGGACCCATTTCAGCCCACTCTCTTCAAGTGGTCGAGGCGGTAGAGCGCCATGCACTTACAGAAAGCTTCTCCCAACGCGCACACACCTTCTTCAAAGCAAGGGACGTTGTTAGTGTAGCGCAGTTCTTCCATACTCTACGGGCGGACTTACGCCATATGTTCATCGCGACATTCATCTCTGCCGCGATGGGCTCAGGCGATGAAGCAGATGCCGCGGCGGTCGCTTCTCTCCTTTCGACTCCTTCCATCCGCCGAGTGCTCGCGGAAGACCCCTGCTCCATCAAAATATTCGAAGCGGAGATCATAACTTTAGAAGACACGGTCCTTGACTATCCCTCTGCCTACGGTGCGATGGCCACAATGCTTCATGGCGCGAGTATACCCATAATAGCGGTTGAAGACCTTGCATCCCGTATCGTCATTCGGGATAACTATGCTCGCGATCGCTTGTTAGGGGAGTTCAATAGGCTGAACATAGGTGGGGATGGTGCGTCGGACCTATATGGACTCGGGGCGGAGTACGCGTCTGGCGAGGAAGAATCAGCTTCTGAGTATGCCTACGCCTACTGAACACAGATGGACGTCGACGGTGTCTTCAACGTAAGCCAGCCGCACTTGTCACGAAGATCGTCGCTGACGTCCGATACTGTAAATGATTAGCCTCTTCTGATGGCGTCAATGCGCTCGTCAGTGCTTCAATTGATGACTTCGGGTCGTACGGTATACATACAGAAGGTGTCGTATGCCAGACATGACAAGATACAAGATGGTACAAGTATGGCACGCTCCAACAATAACGAGCGACGACCCCGCTTCTCACACACTACGATCTGAGCTGTATATCGGCTGGTTGAGCATGGTCACGACGCTTGTCATCTCCATATCCTCTTCTTCTTCGACTATTTCTGCAAGAGAGAGACTCTTGCGCTGTTGCCGCTCCCTTTCCATCGCACCCGCTCCATTGCCGGCCAGAAAGGCCTTCGGTGCAGGTGTTCTTCCCGCAGAGCCTCGAGTCCTCTTTGCTGCCCGGCCAGGGTCACCGCCATCACGACGACGCTTTGGGGTCTGAGGAAGAGGCTCTTGTCGGCTCTGGATGTTAGATCCCTCGTGTAGTCGTGCGAAAGCGATGGCAGCGCGGGGAACGATGGTCTCGAGATCTTCGAGCGAGTCTTCAACTGAGACAACTGGAGCATACTTCTTCATAATAATCTCCGTCGGCTGAGCGTTGTAGGGCCTATTCCCCGAAATCCCCGTAAGCCTTACAGTGCTTGATGCTGGAGCATATAATAACTCACCGCGGATGCTTCCTCCTCCACTCAGCTTCTTCCTCGTCGTCCGTCTCGATCTCGATTATATTCCCATCCTTGTCGGCACGCACAGGACAGGCTTTGTCCCAGATCTCCTCCTCGACCCAGTCCGGTGATAGCCTGACGTTCAGATGTCCCAAGTACTCCCTCATTCTGTCGAACCTCGCCCGTTCCTGTCGCAGAATCGTCCGCAGGCGCAGAACGGACTTCCCGGTGCGGTTGCACTCCAACATCATCGGTTCGATGTCATCCCAACGAGCTTTCATGTGCCTCGCCAACGTCGCCATCTTCGAGACCATACTGTGCAGTTCTTCATCAGTTGCCCAGTCGATTTCCTCCTCAGCCTGCGCTTCGCCTTGGTGGGACTCCACTGCTACCTGAGGTGGTTGAATGGTTGGCACGGGGAGAGGTTGGGCGGGAGGACGTGCTTGGGCGCGACTCTGGGGAGTGGAGGGAGGACGGAAGACAGGGCTGTCACGGGGAGGATATGCGGGGCGAGCCGGAGGCTCGAAGACAGCTTGAGTGAGGGGAAATGCAGGTGACTGCATGGGTCGCTCAGCAGCGGAGGGTCTAGGTTGGCGATCGCTGGGTCCCGCGGACATCTCGCAGGTATAAGGAGTCCACTCCTCCACATAATCGCTACCAGGCTCTGTGAATGCTGGTCCCCCTAGAAGACTGTCGTACTCCTCTGTAGGGGTTGGGTTGCGAGGTCTGTAGCTTGGCCCGATATCAGAACCACCAGCAATTGGTGCGGCACGTGTATTGGTGGATGCGGATGCTCCCGCATCCAACGGCGGAATGTATCGATCTGCAGCCTGCTGCGAGCCGTGGTGCGAAGATGACAAGGAAAAACCGTAGACGTCGCTTGTGAAAGCAGTAGATGGATACGGTCCTGCGAGGCCCTGCCGTCGACATCAACTTCCAACAAGGATGAGTTGCGATCTCACCTTTGGGATATTCGGTCGAGTTCGGGAGGCTCGCTGGGTAAGCCTCTTGAGGGGAGTGGGAATCACTGGTTGGAGAGGGCTCGGGGGGCCTCGGGTTTGCATAAGGCCACAGAGCTCGACTGGCAGATGACCTAAAGACAACGGGCAATGAACAAGGGGTGGAGAGCTTGCTGCCTGATGAGACTCACACGTCGAAAACATTTAGAGTGTGTGCTTGCGGTATGTAGTGCGACGGTCCGTGCCCAGGTCCCGGAAGGGTAGAAACGAGGTGTTGGAACGATGGCAACGCGTATGAACCGGAGGGCGGTGGAACGTATAGCCGTCCATCTCGTGGCGGACGATCTCCTGTTGTTTCGGATAGCACGGAAGGCTCATGCGACATTGAGGCTGGTGGACCCCTAGGATCTTTGATATGCATGAGGCCGTGATAGTCGTGACGCTCTGCGGAACACGTACCGACACCAGGATCATTTAGAGGATCAGATAAACGAGCGGGATCCGGATTGCCATGTTGTGGTGGTTCCTCTGAAGACTGTCTCTGTCCCGCCTTGGAGGTGGCGGTCGCAATATGTTGCGGCGAATGCGCCCTAAATGCAATGTGAGGAAATCAGGCCTTACGAGACAACCTGTTTCGCTTACGACGGTTGTGCTTCCTGCTTCTTCAGCAGGAGTTCTATGATGTCCTCGGACTTGAGGTTCGCCTTGATGCCGTTAGTCTTGTGTGGCGAAACGTCGGTGGTTAGCTCCACATAAGAGACAGGCACGGCTCACCTTTGCGAGACGCTGTAGTGCCTTGCGAGGTAATTTTCTCAATGATACTGCGTCCATGCGTGCAAGTGGCGGAGCGATCCTGGTGAGATTTCGTTCGTGGAGTTATGATGGTTGGGGAAGACAAGGAGTGGACAAGAAGCTAGTGGAGGCGCGCAATGGTATCTAATCGTGGGAATACCTAGGCAACCTACCCTATCGCGGTGAACAATAGATCTAGACGAGACAAGGACAAAGCGTGACGCTCAGGTCGAGCTACATAGGGCAACGCGAGTGGCACAATAGTACAAGCGCCCATTTTTGAGTCTGCTGCGGCAGCACGGCTTAGTAGTTACGCGGCCAGAACGCCTGCAAAACGCTCCTGTACTAGTGCTGCCAATCAAGCAGCGTGAATGTTCATCGATCCATACGCGACACCATGCATATGCATATGCAAGGCAGTCAAGCCGGGGTTACTGAGACGATTCACTGCAGTGGTCCTAGTGTCTAATATCGTTGAAGACCGATATCTTCATAGATGCCCAGGCTTTGACTATTTGACGGGCAAGTCGAGAATATCCGGTCCCTCGCTACACTTACGCTTATCAGCGACTTGAGTTTTCTCGTTCAACCCAAGTCCTGGGTTACTTGTCAGCAGGAAGCAAATTGCAATCTCCATAAGGCTGACCTATGCTGACCGTCTCATCTTGATTCTTGGGAAACGATTGAATAGTCAGGGTCACAATGAGGCAGGCAAAGTGAGAAAACAAATCACTTGAAGTTAGTACCAGCAACTGCGCCAGCTGGGACCCCGTCGGTGAACCTGAGGTGATATTATTTGCCCCCGCCGAACATAATATAGTCGGAAGATGGCCGAGCGGTCGAAGACGTGTGACCCGAACGTAGCCTTCCCTGTGTCAGGAGATTTTTTCAGGCGTGGGATCGAATCCCATCCTAGTCACGATTTTACTCAACATGATTGACATGGCGAATCACAGACAGTCGACGATCTAGTGTGTTGTGGCACACGTGAAATATGTGAGTGTGTTCCGCCATAAGTTTTCCTCTTCTTTCAGGAACGAATGGCGAGATTCTCATGACATGTTTGCAGAGAGTATGAGTGGAAGGTAAACCGACGATCCCAAAGTGGCGGAACAATCCGGGCGAGGGACTCGGAGGTTGCGTCCAAGGATACAATGATGTTGGACTACTTGGTCACTACGGATGGTCCAAGCTCTGAGCCATATTAGTCAGCAATGAGTGGCGTAGCAAGCACAATACAGGTGGTTGTGGGATTGCTCCCGCTTTCATTCACCACGCCACTGGGGCTCTGACCACGACCATCGTAAAGTTTTTCACTAGAACTCGTATTCTTTCTCGTCAGTCCTCATTCGCATATTGACAACGGCGGCAAACCACTTGAAAAGCCGCGAAACTGAGAAGCAAGATGGTACGTGCCTAATGACTTCCATCAGGCGAGGTCGGTCGACTCATGATACGCCACTCCCGATTATCAGTCGGACGACGTGCGAGGAGACACAGAGCGTATAGGTCCTGTTCAATCACCGCACAGACAACTGAAGCGTGCCCGAGCGTCAGCTATTCGTTTGATCCCTGCGAACCAAGCTAACTGAGATCAGTGAAATGGCAGCGCCCCAAACGAAAGTCTCTACGAGTAACGCGGCGCCCGCGCCAAAGGGTACAGAAGGCACAAGTCGCTCGGCGAAGATGGTGGGCTGGAGCGAACCTGTAGTGGTAGGCGAACGGCAAGGTGAGCTATGATGCAGTAATCTGACGATGAACGTTCTGAAACGCGATTCCAGGTGAACCTGCTTACAAAAAGCCCAGAAGGTCAACACGGATACCCGAATCCCGAGGGCAACGAGACTCCCCGAGGCCAGGCGTTAGGTACGACTCGCGAGGCAAACCGGTCGTGAGCCAAAGCCACGTCCAAGCTCAGCACGACCAACCAGGCGCTGCGCCAGAGGCCTTGGATCCATCAGTCGCGCAGCCAGAGGCAATCTATCGCCCTCCGATAGATCGGCTGCAGGGGTCGATTCTTGCCCTGGACGAGATATGCAGGCAAGACGCTCGGGTTCGCGCCAAGGTAGCGGACATCCAGCGCCTGCTCGACGTGATCCAGCAGAAGGAGTCAGACGTGTGCCGCAAGATAAAACACGTACAGAAGACGCGGCTTGCAGTGGAGGCGCTATATGTCGCCAACGTGAAGGCACATCTGAGCTTGGTGGGGGAGGGCACTGATGAGCGAACTGGGACTCAAGGGGGCCCTAGGTATGCAGTGAATGACAGCAAACTCGCAGTACGCACTCACCTGCGGTCACTAGGGATCCAAACAACGGAACAAAACAAAGGGCGGACTCCAATGGTCCACCGCGGCACAGACCCAAGCGACTGAGTCGACAGGTACAGCAACAAGGCTAGTGCCGTGAAGGCACACCAAGTTATGTGTGTTACGTGTCTTGTGTGCTGTTACACTGTGGATCTTGTACATTATCTTGTTCCATATACGCTCGTATTTCACTCACCAACTCACTTATGGTGCTGGCTACTAGCATTGCCGATGAGTGACGGGCTTCAGGAACTCTTCAGTTACCCAACGGGGAGCATCCCTGCCAAATCGTAGAGTCGCTCGTCTTGCGAGAGTTCCTATGGTAGTAGCAGTGGCGTGGGAGAGTTAGACCAAGGCGGCGCCAGTCGTCCGGTTTCCACGTCCAACGAGCAGAAATTGACCCTGTCGTACAACGCATCCCTCTTGCTTGATCTCAATATCGGCTTAGCTGAAAAACTACAGGGAGTTAAAAAAAATTGCTCAGGAACGGCAGGCGGTTGACTTGAAGCTCGACTTACGCACGAATCTATCGCGCCTCCACGCAAGGCGGGGCAACATCGCCCTTAGAATGTCGTCCATTCCGGAACTTCCTCGTGCGCGAGGTGTCGTCGGCTGGAGACTGGGGTGCTGCCAAGAGCAGGGCACCCATATTGTTAGGTATGGGAGCCTTTACAGCGGTTTGCATATCGAGAGGCCACTTGGAAAAAACATGCTCCAGGTCGGTTGGGAGCCGAATCATATCCGAGCCCAATCAGGTAGTCAGACGCTCCGAGACCCCACCGAGCGCGCTGCCCAGCAGGGCCAGTTCAACGCGTCTCGGTGGTGCCTTCCAGCGTCTTGAGTGGCGAATCGGACTCGCATCTTGGTCGGCTCGTCAACCGACCTGAGCGTGTTTTCTTCGAAAGGGCCTATCGATATGCAAACCGCTGTAGTCGTACCATTTTCTACGCGAATGCAATGTCGGTGAATGCAATGTCGGTTGTTGCTTCATCCTATGTACAGGGATACGCCTTTTCGCAGAAACCATGCTCAGTTCGGCTAGGAGCCGAACCATATGCGGGCACAATCGTCACCCAATGTTCTGCGGCCCCACCGATTCCGTCGCCCCGCAGGGCCGAGCAGGGGAGTTCCAGGAAGCTCCAAGGCCGTTGGAAGTGCCCTTCAGTGCGTTGAGTGACGGATCAGAGTCGCATTTTTGGGCGGCTCTCTACTCGATCTGAGCGTTTTATTATGGGAGGGTGCATTATTGCCATTCAATGAGTTCGGATACTGCTTTCCTTCTCGCACCCACATGTGACCTGAGAGACAGCTTCAATGGAAGCATACTTTCGCAGAGGCTCGCGATCGCTGACGAACACCGGATATCGCATTCCTCTCAGCTAGACCCTTCCTTCAAGAGTCCACCCGCTCAGAGATAATGTGGGAGGCAAGCAACTCGATTGCCGCAATATCATCTCAACAGACATCGGTGACTGGATCGATGAGCCTACTACTCGGATTCGGATCATGTACATCAATGCATCCTTCCTGTCTAGATACGTTCAACTTCCTGCGACGGGCACCTTGGCGAACTGGTCTTCACAGCGCGACGGCGGAGTTAATTGTTGGTGAGTATATATCGCCAATTCATCAGCTTCCCCACTGACCGCGCCGATCCTCCTGTACTACTGCTAAACCCTGCGACGTATCATGAACGTGCTACTTCCCCCTCTTACCATAGCGCTCTGCGTATGAATTGTCGTAAACTCGCGCAAAATAGACCGAGTATTGGTCATCGACTGCTGTTGGGCCCAACGGAGCTTCCACTTCTTGACAATGTGCTGCAGCTACCCGCAACAGACTAGGAAAATCATGTGGTGAGCGGCCGCTAGGCATTGTATATGTTCTGTAAGAGTGCTTATCGAGACACCGCTAGGTCCTATTTACTCCTGCCGTGTCTTCCAAACCTCGCTCATCGTCATCAACTCAGCGGAGGTGGCTCTGGAGGTCTAATCAGCCGAGCTGTGCGTATGACGTCGTCCCGTCTCCTATCGGGCGACTAGTATCTTTCGCCGTCACCTGCTTCGATGGCGGTCTTGATCATATTGGTAGGTATTGCGACTGATCGTTATCTGTCTCCGTGGTGACGAAGCCTTGGTGAGTGGTTTGTGTGTCTCCAAGCATTGGTTCCGTATTTTACTTTCCCTGATTACTAGTAACTGATAATGCCTACGTAGTCAACGGGGGTCCAAGGCAATCTGGCCCTACCGCTTGAGTGCGCGCATAGCCCTTTCGCAACCGGAGTTGCCGACTGGCCGCTGTTGCTGAATAGGCTTGCCGCTCTCCCACATGCGTGCTTTCATTGACCTCTGTGAGGGCGGGCATTGTTGTTCTAAGTTTGTCCGATTATTATGTTGTCTATTGTAGAGTGGCTCTTAGACGCCCTTTGGGCTACGTGATCCTAACCATCATCGCTTCTTCGCTACTCACTCCTTCCTTCGCTCGAAAAACGTCTACGTCTCTTCAAGAGCAAAACCACCGCATACCTTCTCATGGATGTCAGAATAAACGTCCTCAGCCCCGACATATTCATCCAGGCCAGTCTACGAGTGGCTCCGGGAACCGTTGGTGAACCACCCCACCTACGGCTACAATCTGGGGCCAGGTCTCTCGAACCCAAGTCAATTGTGAGTTCATATGTCTCTCCCCAAGTCTTATACTGACATCTTGCATTCATATTCGTCAAGCTCGACGCGCTCAACGCCGCAGGAGCCTGTCTAGGGCACGAGTTATTGTGGTCGGAAGATATCTTCTCTCCCCAAATTGGCTGCAAGTTTGGCCTCTACCCTCTCGCGCGCGACTCATTCTTTGGACTCAACTATCCTGAATTGCGTGCAGTAGACGTGTCCTTCGCGTGGTTCTCAAAGGAAAGCGACCCGTTCGATGTAGCAGAGGAAACTTCCCCGACTTGGGACGCCAAGACGCCACACCCCGTCCTCGATGAAATACTAGCCCACGCAGCGAGAGTAGCGCGTCTCCAGCAACGTCTGTGGTATTTTTTCGTGCTCTTCTTCGGCGACAAGGCTCGCTTGATTCGCGTGGACCACGTTGGGATCGTAACCACCACCGCCTTCCCTTACGCAACGAGCCAAGGACCTCTAACGACCTTCCTCTGGCACTTCGCGCACGCTTCCCCGGTACACCGAGGACACGACCCTTCTGTACAGCGCGTCATACCAACGTCTGAGGCCGGCCAGAAGATGCTCAGCCGTGCTGCCCTGGAATCTGCACGGAACCCCGGCAATCACGTCTCCCAAGCCTTCATCGAATCGCTCGATGACGCCTGTCCATGGTGGCGAATCGAGGTGCATGATGCGCGGGCAGGGCGTGTATACCCTTTCGTTGTCGGGAAGCCGGTATACGATGAGTCTGGTATGGTCGGCAGTGGCAAGCACGGGTACATTGCACTCGACCTTGCGAACCTCGACGGACCCTTCGTCTATCTGGAAGACACCTGGCGCATGGCCGGCATTGGCGATGAACAGGAGGGAAACGTGCTGAGGGTGCTCAATGCCAACAGCATTCCGTTCGTACGGACCGTGCTCTGTCATGGCGACCTCCCGGGCCAGGTCACAATGGCCCCCAACCTCGTACCAAGGTACGGTGGTCAACATCCTATGCCTCCGATTTTCAGACGCCACTACCGCGTGGTCGTCGGAGAGGTATGCAAGCCCGTCGAGGAATTCAGCAATGGCAAGGAACTCATCAAGGGTGTGTGGTGCTGCCTCAAAGGTACTTATTCTGTCCTCATGTGTGATATCCATCGGGGGACTCACGAGTTTTATCTGCAGCGCACGAGGGTGCGTGGCTCGCAGGCATTGTCCACCCCAACGTTCATCCGGCCAACATATCCCTGTACGAGTCCCCTGGCGGAGAATGGGTCGGTATGCTCGGCGGATGGACGTCCGCTGGTGACGAGTATAGAACTCCAGAGCACAAGGTCTGCTAGAGTTTGGGCAACCTCTTGCTTTTGCAGTACGCTAACATCGGTACCTAGGAGACTTGGATGTTCGCCTCAAAGCGCCTCCTTGACAATCCGACAAGGACCACTGCCATCTCTGACGCTCTCGAGTCCTTTTTCAACGTCCTATTGCACGTCGCCATCCGCTTTCTACCAAACAACATTGCCTGCGTCAGCTCCTTCATTCATGCATACTTCGAAGCCTACTCCCGTAACGCCCAGGACCTCCCTCGCGCAGGGCTCCTCAAGTCTCAAGCGATGACACGGGGAATTCTGAATCTCGCGTCCCCAGACAGCATGGAACGTAATACTCTTCACTTTGTTACATCCTCTCAAGACAGACACCCGATCAACGACGTCTTCGACGAGCTCCTGTCCTGGATCCGCACCTCTTATACCCCCGGATATTTGCTTGATTCTCGAGATGCCCTTCGGAAGTTCCACAATTTGGAAAGCCACACTGCGATGGGAAATCTCCTGTTGACTCATATAGGTCGCCAGGACTGGCCTTCCCAGGACAGGTGCTTGGGGAACCCGGAGAGGGCCGTCGTTTCGCATGCATGAGTCAACCCGATATAGTGATCATGGATATTGTTTTTGTCGAGCTTGTTAGGACAACTACACTTTGCGCATCTCAGATATGTATTATCTAGTAGAGCCTCCGGTATTTGATGCGCACAAGTTCTACGAGACTAACCGTTAGTATGCGATGATGGACAAATTGCTTCCAGAGCTGAGAGCCTAGAGCTTCTTTAGTGAGTCGGCAGCATCCTGCTCATAGCCAAATCTTTGGATTCAAGCGTTCGAAAATATCTAAGCCTTTGCGCTGACAACTAGAGTCATGAGCGACCATATATGAAGTAGCCGTAGCGCTATGTGAACGACCACTGCTAACAGAGGCCGTTACGAGCAAAGGCAGGTTCCCAAGAGGTGGGTGAATGAGGAGACGAGTCAACATATAAAGCCGAAGGCTGTCTGCAATGCAGCACTCCGCGATAATGTCTTTCAGCTCCCGCAACCGCATGTCCTCAGAGTCATAGATAACCAAATTTTTGTCAATGAACCGGTGCACGGGAAGTCAGCGCCCATGCTCACCTCGTCCAATTTCTCGTCGATATGGCAAAGGTGACAGTCTAGCTTGGCTAGAGGGGGATGGAAGAGGGTGGGAGGCGGACCATAGTTGCATGCCGGCCGCCCACCATGGTCGAAAATTAACGTCGTCGTTGCCGCGAAGAACTCGCCGAGGCCCTGAAATATCCTTGATGGCCTCCGAAGACGACGAACCTCACATTATGTTGGACGAGACACTAATAGAGAAGCGCGGACCAAAACATGTTGTACGCGGGACAGGGGAGGCAACGCACCAATTTGGACACAGATCGATGCGGAACGCAGTGGGCCAAGAGTATCGAAATCTGCAAGAACCAGTGGCCACGTCAGTACTAAACGTTGAACCTTGATTTACGGGGTGCACAGGCAAATTACGCACCTTTAGGGTTGCAATGAGTATATCAATATGCCCACCCGAATGGCCATCCTGGAATTCCTTGCCAATGGGCAATTGAGCTGTTGATCTTCATCGTCCACGGCGGCATAGTCGTCATTGGACCACTGCCGGGCACGCTCGCATTGATTGACTTGGGCTTGTGAGAGAGGCTGTACGGCTGGTTTACGGATGTAAGAGGAGTGTCAGTTACAAATGTCGTGCACTTAAGAACATAGAAGGGCTTGGAGGGGCTGCTGTGAATATTGAGATCGGCATACCTGATCAACTATTGAATGCGGGTAGTGTAGCGTGAAAGTGCTCGGCATGGTGATGGCGGCGGCGGGGAGGAACCCTATTCGATCGAACGCTGCGTTACCCGACAGGTAGAAACAAGCGCAGTTACCTCACCGGGGACCAAGAGTCCATCGCAAAACATCGGGCGCATGAGCTGTGACTCGAGCTGGAGAGCGGGATTGACAGCCGTTCAGGGAAGGATGTCCGTGTGGTGAGGGACTGAAATCCATCCGCACACGAGTGATGTGGAATCCAGCGGCATACGCGCGGCTGAATGCCATCAGACTCGGGCGAGCCTACCCAGCACAAGAGGGCGTGTTGGCGTGCAAGCGCCGACAAAGTCTCGAGAGCGCTGAGGGTTGTGCCTGCGCGCACATGGCGAGCTTACTAGCATGACCCCAGAAGCTACGACCCATAACGTATTTCATGGATATCTCCCTCCCTTCCTCTCCAATACATTTCAGACTTCGCACACTTCACTTGCATCCTGGACAGTACATATGGGTGAAATATGAAGAAAATCGGTGGAGGTTTGCATTGAGCATCGCGGAATTACACGTCTGACCCCAGAAGCTACGGAAAAGCGCCCATAGATTGTCATGGATGGTCACAATGCCGAAGACTGCCGATTCAAACACCGCTGTTATCAGTCGTTTGATAGCGAAGTTGGCCGGGGCAACATTGTCGAAGCGCTCAGATTGAAAGTCAGCTTTATCTCGGTCAGTGGCTGAATGTCACGCTCGAGAGACCTCTTCCTATCTTTCGAATACTGCAACCCGGAACCCTTCGGAGACTGAACAAGAAAGTTTATTGAGAATGTTCAGAACACTTTGCGAAGTTACAGAAAGATCGGCGCTGCAGAT